TTCCGCAAGGCGGAAACAGCCGTTAACGTGTCATTTAGCCGCGTGTACACATTTAATAATGAACATAGTTTAACGTAGTTAACAAACAAGCCACCGTAAAACATCGAAGAGAGCCGGCAATTAAGCGGCACGATTCAATCGCTGTGTGATCAAAAGTTAATTAATTTCATTATCTCGGTTACGCTCTCGTTTCGACTAATTAGGTACTCCACGGCGGCACAATAACCGCTAATAATAATAATTTCGAAGTGGAAATTAGGCCACGAAATTATAGTTACATCAGAACGGTTATTAATATATCGCCCGGTTCGCGCAAATAACTTCGTTCACTTTTGTAACTTAATTAAAAATTGCAATAATTTATCAAGTAAAATAATCGAATTTTTTTCCGATGTTTCTCCGAAATTAACTTAGAACGCATTTTGCTCGCAACGATTTCGCGATATTTTCGGGAGAATCGGAGTTTTCGCAAATGTGTATGTAATGGTCTTTTGTAAGTCGTCCGGAAAAATCGTCCGGTTGAATTCTCTCTGTCTCTCGTTCTCTCGGTTGAGCGAGGTAAAATCGAAAACAGCCTCCCTCTTTACCCTGCCGTTGATTCAATATTAGCATCCGCAACCCCGAACAAACCCTTGTCGATGTGAAATCGTACATTCCGTTTGACTCGGCGGTCGAATGCACTCTCTGATGATTTATACGTTGCTTATCAACTCTCTCTTCATTCTCGTTCGTTTGACCACAAGAATTTGACGTTTTAAATACCCATGGATACCCCATCGATACATATATAGTCTGAATCGAAGATTAATAACGGACTCTATAAATTTTTTATTCATGAAAATAAAACATTTATTCTTCTTTTATTCTTTGTTATTTATTATTCATTCACCTTGTGCTCTCTACTGACAGGCAAAGTTTCCTCAGCTAGTGTGTGTATGTTTCAAACAATTTCTCTTTGGCAGCAGACGCTGAACGAACAACATTCTAGGGCGTATGCGCGCTCTCTCTCTCTCTCTCTCTCTCTCTCTCTCTCTCTCTCGAGACTTTCGTATGTACGCGCGGCGTACTTACGTATTTCATACGGGACGAAGCTTCACAGCTTCGTAGTATTTCAGGCGTCGCCGGTTCTCGTTTACACTTGTAACGCGAGGCTTCCCATTGTGTAACAAGAGAGAAACCTCCGTATGAGAGAAGCACACAACCCCGCTCTCTCACCCTATCATAGCTGGCTGGGATGCATTAACGCCGAGATTGAAGGGTGGCTAAGGACTCGAGTCGAGAGCCTCCCAACATGTCGTAGAGAGTTCCTACGTCGAACGGTTGTAAATGGTTCATCTAATGCGATCACGTTACACGACGACGGCGAGACTCGTTGAGATGTTCTTGGGTTACCATCTAAGATGCATTATCCGCTACCTTGAATTACCTACCTATCTCGTTGCTTTATCAGAATCTTGTTAGTTTAATGCGATATTGGATGTCAAATCTCTATGCCGCGACGAGATGTGTAGTGCGCGCCACACACACTATCACACCGAACTAATACCGAAATATTGAACATCGAAATTTCGCCGCAACAGAAATATATTTCATATATCTTTTTGTATTTTTTTTACGTGGAAAATCTTCAACCAACACATTTTATATATTGTTAATTCTTGAAGTACAAACAAATATATTTTTCTTCATCTTTTGTAAGACGATCTTTTACGAAAACTGTTTCTCTTGCAATAATTTGATAAAAACATTAAGAGACATTTTCTTCGAGAAAACTTGCAGTTTTGGAAGATTATATTCACTGCTTGTGTGTGTGTGTGTGTGTGCAGTGAGCTTATGTACGCTTCTTACGCGAAATCGTGAGTTATCTCAGCGGGACACACTTGAAGGTGCGCAACGCCGTGTAACTCCCGCTTGCGTCTATTGCGAGGTCCGTCGTTGGCACCCTCCTGTGTGTCGCGGCGGGAAAGCAGAAGGGACAAGAGGGAGATACGCAGTAACTGTGTAACGGGGCGTAACGACGCTTGCGGGGCTTTGGGTTTCCGTAAGCGTGCGGCTTCGGCGGGATACAGCTAATGCTCGTCGCATGAGGGTTTAACGCTTAACGTAAGCAGGGACAACGGGACCTATATAGCGGCCGCGGAAAATCCAGCGGAGGGTGAGAGAGAAGAGCGGACGCGCACGGTCGATGAACGAAGTCACGCGGAAAAGCTCCTCCGAACACAGCTTTGGCAGGATTGCTCCGTACGGAATCACGCGTCCGTCGGACACGTCACGGACGAGACGTAAAACTCTTTAACGATGCTATTCGACATATGTCGTTTTCGATGAAACTCGCAAGCAACGAGATCGCGCGGTTTTTTTTGTTTTTTTGTTTTTTTTTGTCGTCGAAAATGGTCTCGACGACAATTTTACGACGTAACACGCGTTACTCGGCAATTCGAAAAATTTACGGGGATTGTCGACGCGTCGAAATCCGCGACTGCGACGGTTTACGCTACGTATTCAGATTTGGCGTGTGTGTATTTCGAAATTTCTATTATTCGAAGTCCACAAATTTTTTGAATCAATAACGTTCAAAATCTCGGCGGGATTTGGGGATTTGCGATATTTATATTCCGGCGAATGCGAGCGTCGCCGCCGCGGGTGGTATTTTCCGGTCTACCGTGTATGTATGCGGATGTGAACGAGCTTCTCTCTTTTCCCTCTCCCTCTCTCTCTCTCTCTTTCTCTCCCCCCGGCTGGAGAGAGTTTCTCATGCGAAGGATTACAATATTGTATGGTTGAGAGATACAACGGAGATAACCGTTGTCTACCTTGTCCGCCGTTCTTAGCCTTTCATTTAAGAACCGGGTAATAGCTGTCGCTGCAATTGCACCTTGTCGTTCGTTTTTAGTTTGCCGAAAGCGAGGAAGATAGCAAGAGGGACGTATATTTCACGTCTTTGCCGTCGCTAAGAAAGATACGTTGGAAAATTCACCGTGCCCCGCGGCTCTCGCCTGAATTTATGCACTTCGGGGATCATCAGATCTTAAGCACAGCGAAATTTTCGGAAGAGAGAAATTGGCAGGGTGAACATCTAGTATCAACTTTTCACGATCAACTCTATTTAGCCGAGAAGTTCAGTATCGTTGGAGCTTCGATTGTCTCGTGTAAAACGTAAACAACTTTGTACACAAGTCTTGTTACGTTTCCACAAAAAAAATGTAACGTTCGTGTCTTTCTTTTTCCGGGAAAGAAAAACTATTGGCACGAAGCGTTAATAATTTCTTCCGCGGATAATGGCGTCTTTGATCATTCTTTACGGTACGATTATAAAATAATACAAGAGTTTCGCCGGGAAAGATCTCCCTCAGATACCACTGCGGCGGAAGAAGTTTAAGACGTTGTAAAGGGACGTGCTCTCTCGTGAATATCCGATATCCTGGGAAAGAGACATGGCGTGTCCAGCCACTCCAATCCCCCAGGAGCTTTTCCCTGGACCACGAAAGCTACTCGTAAAACCTCACAGCTGCGATCGTTAACACTCTTTACCCCACGATGTTTCTTTTCACCATATTTATGGTTTTTTCATTACACTTTCTCGCGTAAAAATTTTCTCCACAACAAATACGTACGTGATAAAGATATATTTTTTATGCGCGCTAACACATTCACGTGAAAAGTGCTTTAAAAAATGTTTTTTTTTTTTTTTTGTAGCGGTACAACTAAACATGTCTACACGTCTGTAATATTTTTACACATCTCCCTCGTTGTAATATTTTTGAAATTGCGGAGATGTCAAAATTCTTGATTGAGAAAAATCGACGCTCCGAATAACTGCAGTTGTCACGGCACTTTTGCAACGTAGTTTTTCGCGTATATCGCGCACATACGAAACAAAATACAAGTAGAAAAGCGCGTTTTCTCGCATCTGTATTGCGCCAAACAAAAAGCACGCGTAACTAGAATGACTAATACATCGGAGAAGTATGTTCGAAATATCGAGTTGACGCTCGATAAAATGCAAAATTCGCACACGCGCGAGAGCAAAAATCGCGCAATGTGCGGATATCGCTGCGCGCGGAGGAAAAATACGAGATAGCGTTCGAGACGGAGGTATCCGCCGTCACGTGCGTTAGGCGATATTTGTCGCACGTGACTGAGGAGCCTGGCGCCGATATCTTCTCGCGCTACATCACAAGGCGAACTTTTTCTGCAACGGCGGAACCCGACGCAAATGTACAAACATAACGGAAAATCTATAAGCGTTACCAAAGACGAATATTTTTTTCACTATTTTTCACAAACAAAAGGTTGTAGCAAAAAAGAGAGATTGTGTCGAAAAATGACGACGCGCACACACATGTGACACATTTATTAAACGTTTTACATGAAGAATGTCGAAACTTGTTATTACGATTGTTTTACTTGTTGCAATTTTTTTTTTGTACAAAAATATTCTTACTGAGTAAATACCAAGTCAACCGAAATCGAGCTTTGTTCGAGTTCACACCAACATGAAATTCGCAGGCTCGTTCAGGAAAAGCAAAACAAAATCTGCTTAAGCGGAAATCCGAGAGAGAGAGAGAGAGAGAGAGAGAGAGAAACTCTCATAGCTAGGAAGAGAGAGGGGTGAGCGCGAGTGCAAGGAGATGCAGGCGGGAAACGTTGCCACGAGAAAAGTTTTCGCTCTCTGTTGAAACTTTCCCGATCGAGCTCGAACGCGAGCATTTGTTTTTCGTGGCGAAGCTCACGCGAGTTTTCGGCAGGGAAGTCACTCGAGGTGAGCGACCACAAGCATCGTAACCCGCTGCTTTAAGCTATCGCCGGTTTCTCACCCCTCGCTCGTTCTCCGCTTTCGCCCCCTGCTGCCACTCAGTGCCGGATTAAAGTATCGGCGACGCCAACCGCGTCTGAATAATTCAGGATGAAAGTTTCGGTCGTTCGATCCCGAGACGTGAGACTAGTCCTGCAAGAGAGCGTTCGGGGGTTCTGATCGAGGTTCGCTTTTTGTGTTGCAGGTTTCGCGCTAATGAGGATCGTCGAGGTGTACAAGGAGATACAGGATCAGGAGATGAACATCGTAAGTAGAAGAAACTATAGACGCAACTTTTAGAATAGAGAAATTCTAGAGGATTTTTCTTTCGAATTGAAAAGCAATCGACATCTTTTCTTCTGTCAACAAGAAATTTGACAATATTACTTTATTGCTTTTTTTTTTATTCGAAATTTCCTACAATGATACATACTTTATCGAATAATATTCGGAGGCATTTGGTGGAAGAACCAAGAGCAAACGCGCATTGTCTGCCCACCCCTATTTTTTTCCGTCTGTCTCCCAACCTGGCAACGTCCATTTCCGGAGATTACGTCAGACTTCGGTCGCGTCTGCCAAGATTCTGCAAAGATGTCCTCTTCTTTACCTTCATCCTTTTTGCCTTCACTCTAAATCCATATGACAAAAATATGTATATTTTGTTTATTTTTACATATTGTTGTCGTAAACAAAACTGAATAAAATTAATATAAAAATTTTATAATATTAAACTAATACAATAAGTATATCAAATATATTAGATATTAAAATTTTAAAACTAATAAATTATTATTATTTTTAGATTTTTTGTTAACTATAAGAAAAAATGCAGACCCTTACTGATGTCTCATCTGTCTCCCTTCTTATCGTTGATCCTGTGATATTCTATAGAAATGGTTTCGTGGTACGTGAAATTCCGCAGAAACCTCTTTGATCCTGCGGTTCACCTCCACTTGCCTCGAGGACGACATTACATCCCGCAGGCGTTTCGTTTGAGCATGGAATCTCATTGCGGCGGTAACGATACGCGGTTATTACAACTTCGCAAGCCACTCTCTGGATATATGCTACCGTCGCGTCTTGCAATTTTGCTCCGATCGACTTACCGAAAATATTTTTCGAACGATCGAGCTTCAAATCTAACTCCTCGAAATCTAATTTTTATAAAAAAAAAAAAAAAAAAAAAAAATATTTTCTCGGTATCGCTCAGAAATAATATTTACATGACACATGTGCTATTTATTTATCATTCACAAAGTGCAAAGTACATGATGTCTTTGTAATGAAAATATGCTCGAGAAAGACCGAGGGGTCAGTGGCCTCTGATTTCTCGGGGGAAATTCTCGAAGAAGAAACAAACAGTCGCGTATGCGCGCTACGTCACGATCTGCCGATAAAAAACGCACTCCAGACAAAGATTATCTCGAGCGCGGAAGAAGCAAGTAAAAGAAATGCCACGGAAAAAGAGAGAATGGCGAGTGCCAAGTCCAGTGGGGTGGAACTCACGTAGCTTGCATTACTTCGCAGCTTTTTGGCGGACGTGTATCTGCGCGATCGATCGATAACGAGACGCGAAATCGAGACCCGTCTGTGTGCCGAGAAAGAGTCTGGAAAAATGATAATTCGTGAACTGGAGTTATCTTCACAGCTTCTTTTGTTTTTTTGTTTTTTTTTTTTCAAAAATCACAGAACCGGCTTTAGTTTCAAATGCGTCTTTTTGTCAAAAATTCATCAAACATCCCGCCTTTCCACTTCGTCGTGACGCGGTTGTACAAGGCAGAAACTCGCGACTGACGTTTCGAATATTTGTCTTCCATTGGCGACGAATCTGCAGCAGTTCTTCCGATAGTACGCGACCGGAAGATCGGCGCGCGGAAAGGCGCAATTCGGAAACATCATAATTCTCAATCGACAAGGCAAGACGGAGCGTAGTGAAGCGAAGTGAAGTACACGGTGCGGTTCGCTCGCGTTGTTCGCTCTTTCGCCAAACGCGAAACCAACATGGCGACGCGGGCCGCTCTGGCAATCAGATATAAAGAGCGCTGAATTTTCCAATAAAAATCAACGGTGTTCTCTAAAAGCTCGCGGATTTAATTCACGGTGCGTAGAGATTTGCGTGTTCGCAAGGGGGAGAGAGGGGGAGATAGAAGGTAGAACGAAAAAAACAGATAAAAATAGAGATGGATATCCCAGTCGTTCTCTACGCACCGCCGCCATAGCAACGAGCGACTGCAATCCGCCTGCCTTTGAGCGACGTACAAAAAAGCAGAGGCAAAGGGTGCTCGAACTGTAAAACAAACAACTTGTTCGTGAAACGCGAGCTGGTGAAAAGGATCGAGGGAGGGAGAGAGAGAGAAAGAGAGAGGGCGGGGCGGGGCAGGAGAGATCGCGAGGGGAGAGTAAGGGTGACTCTTGAAGAAATGCCCGCCGACGGGGTAGGTCGGCGTCGAGAGCAGGAAATTCGAAGGGGTTAATACGCTGATGGATCGAAGTGACTAGCAAACATATAAAGGCATATCATTATCGCAGCCGGGGGTAACTTACATGCCTCGCAGACATTTCGGATTGTTTGACCGGATTGGGAGGGTAGCGTAAGGTAGGATAGTGATTTGATTGCGGAGGAGAATTTAAGGGATGATTGAACTCACAGAAGTTCTGGGATAGTGAGAGAGAAAGAGAGATCTCGATTTCCGGGTGAATCAGATTTCCGAGTTGCGATTTCAAGGGACGAACGAGATTTCATCTTGACCAAATAAGCCGAAGCTGGCGGAGAGTCGAAATGTTAGATTTCCCGTGTTCCGGAAAATCCTCGAAAACTTCGAAAATAACGTTCAAGCGAGCGCGTCTGGAGAAATTGAATTTCGCATTTACTTGTATACCACCTTATTTTTACGTCGTGATCAAACGTGTGCATTATTCTCGTTTGTAAACACATCATTATTTGACGCTCGTTACGTTTAAAACCACATTTCTCTGTATTACTTCACATTTAGTCTTTCTTTTCTCGCGGTTGCATTATATTATATTATTATAATGGTTACAGTGCTGTTACATTAACGACGTTACACTCTTTCTCCATTACGTGGAATTTCACGCGTCGCTTTTACTATTTTCTCTTACCGCTCTTCTTCCTCCTCCTTCTCCTCTTCCTGACACTGATAAAAAAAAAATAAAAAAATTAAAAAAATAAAAAAAAATAAAGAGCGCTTTTGTCGTCTCGTCGTTGTCATCGTCGTCGTCGTCGCTGTGTTTTCCGTCGGAGTGCCGACGGAAGACTACTTCGAGTATAAATTAGGTCTGACTCGCGAGACAAACTCGTAAACCACCTGGAGCTCGCATACAATGAACTCAAGACCTTACCGAAATAAAGAAACATCGCTGTCTTAATACTAACTCTCTTAATACTAACCGCGAGAACACCGAGGTTAATTTTCTCTTGTCCTGAATTGCTTTTAATAGCGTCGGATAAACGTTTAATGGTTATTTTGATTACATTTAATTATCAAAATGTACGTATTAATTATTTTTTGTATTATTTATAAAATTATTATATATATTGCACTAATTTAAAATCATTATATATTTGCATTAATTTATTGATACATTGTGTATATAAACTCCGGTTGTTACTCTTCGCGTTTCAGTTGAAGGCGTTCTACGTGGACTTGTTGGTGCCCCTGGAGACCAACCTGGAGAAGGACACGAAAGTTGTCCAGGTAAGTAAACCTCCGAAAGCGATCCTCGGAAGGGACATTAGTCCGTTCTCCGAGTCACGGAGACTTCAGGTGACAATGAATAATGCAACACCGGGGACCTTTGCAGAGCGAGCAGAAGAAGTTTCTTCAACAACACAAGACCAGATCCGAGACCTACAGCAAAGCGGCCGCGACAATGAAAAAGCAGAGAAAAAAATCCCGAGCCGCCAATAAGAGCGGTCTCGCGATGGACAAGGAATTGAAGAACATGCAGATTCTCGAAGAGGAGAAGACCAAGCTGGACGCCTTCTGCGAGCAGAGTTTGAAGAACGTGAGTAACACCGGGCCGTCGTATGTACCTGCTGCATCTATCAATTATACGTTGGGTTATTAAACATCTAACCAGTTTTGTATTAAAGCGCATTACACGCCGAATGTGTAAAACGCGAGGCGATGCGATATGACGTAAAATCTCGCAAAAGAGTAAATATGAAAGCGATCATTAAACGCACCGCATCGCGCGGGAATGACGTAGATGATGGATTGCGCGATGAGATTCATTAACGGAGCGGAGTTCATTAACATCACGGGCCCTTTTGTGCGTTTCTTTTCACAGGCGATGACTCAGGAGAGACGACGATACGGTTTCGTGTTGGAGCGACAATGTTCCTTGGCGAAGCACTATGCGAGTTTTCATGAGGTTGCACTGGCCGCGCTTCATCCCTCGGTTGATAAATGGCGCGAGGTTGCCGCCACCAGGGAATATCTGCCCCAGTCGGTGGAGGACATGTTCGCTTCCAGACTCAGGGTAAATTCGCGACAGAGAGAACTCATCGTGCGAAAGCGTTCCCCCGCGATTTTACACGCGATTCGCATTGTTTTCGACTACAATAAAGATCCATCTTCGTGATTTGCCGTTTACTCACAGTTATTTAACACAGTTTGTAAAGACACAAATCACAGGCGATAACGTTACACAGGTTCCGTATATATCTTTTGTCAGGGCGAAATGAGTGTCGGTGAAATTTTGATGATAAAAATCTGGTTGGTTATCGAAAAGAAAAAAAAAATGTGTTATTATCGGCGTCTAACAATACCAAAACGGAAAACAAAAAACAATGTTTCCGTTTCGAGAACAACGCGCGCGCAACAACGATATTTCAAATTCGACTTTAATGCGTTCAAATATACGAGAATAATTCGATGCTCTAATTTCGGACGGAAATACACACGCGAGGATATTTGTTTACGCGTGTAAAATATCGCGTTACATCGCGAGGTTGTAAATTATGATCGCGATTTGCATCGACAGCAAACATCGTTCTGGCCGGAGGACGAAGAGAACGGCGGCTCCGAGCTAACAACAATGAGCTCGCAATTGCGAAAGACCCGGAGCATGGACAGCTCCTGTCTGGAATTACGACTAGGCCCGCTACCCGGGAACCCGTCGTCGTCCGGCAGCCACCTCGGTCCGGCGCAGCATCTCCCCGCCGCCCTCTCCAGAGCGAGGTCGGAGGCCAATCTGCACGCCTCGACGTTATCCCTCGGTCCCGGTACGTCGTCGTACTCCCGAGCTTCTCTTTTTTTCTGCGACAATGATATCGATTTTCACGCTACGCTTACGCGGCCGGTCCGTGCCGAAAATTTATCCCGCGAACGTGATCATATTATTTTTACATGTTCGAGCGAGAGAACAGAAACGAAAATTTCTGTTAAATTAAAGTTAATTTTATAACTTGCGCTTGTATTATCTTATAAATATATCGTTCATTTATCAAATGGCCGGATACACGCGATTCACAGGAAAGAGTGATAGAACGGAGCTATTCGCGTTGACGTTTTCGCTTTCTTTTTCGCGAGTTCCGTCATGACGATCGTATAGGTATAAATTTCAACGGCGATTGGATTCGGAAGATCCGCATCGAAACCCGAAGCTTTCGAACATGCAGAGACCGGAGTCGGGTCTCGCGCGCAATAAAATCGGAATATGCTTTCGTTTGTGCAATACGATCCGCGTCCGTATTTCATCGTCATGGTGTCGCGTGTCACGCCATCGGTCCATCGGCGGTGTGCGCCCATCATTACACGCGCGCGGCGCTACCTTTGTCGCGAGTCTCTCTCTTGACTCCGTCAGATTCGGTTTTTTTTTTGTTCTTCTGCTTCCGCCACGCTGTGCGGCACACTATTTTTTTTTTTTTATAGCGCGCGCGTAAAACAAAATAAATAACTTAAAAAAAAAAAACAAATAAATAAATAGTACACAGCGTTAACAAACGAAAACAGTATGATTTGCACGTGTTTCTGTTGCATTTGTTATAATGACGAATTAATTAATATTTTGAGCTGTGATTTTGAATGGATTTTTCATTTAATAAAGCTTTAATTAATAATCTGCGCGCCGCATAATTCTTCGTCAAAAATGTATCGTCATTATTTCACATTTAATGTGCCGCGCGTTTATATATTTCTCTCATCTCGGATTAATTTACCGCAATTTAAACACAAACAGTTGCGTATTAATGGCATGATGCTTTTGCCGATAATCTCTCTCAAATTCCGTCTCTGTTTTTTTTGTTCTTTACTTTTCTCCTCGATGTCGTTCCGAAGGGGAAGTTACGCTCGTTCGCCTTCGAGCATCTATTCCAGTCTGCCGCTATCGTCCACTGACCTAATTGCCCTGGTTTACTCTGAAACTACCCTCGTATTATTCCGGGTTCATCCTCACATTCGCCCGCCCCGCCCTTTCACATGCTTGGTCAGTTACAGCGTTTCTGGTTTCCAGAGGTTCCAGAAACTCCACCCCGACCGCGATCCATGGCGCCCCCCACGTCCCGCAGCAGTGGCGGCGGCGGAGGCGGTAGCATCGGGGTTAGCACCGGGGGTTGGGGAGACGCTCCTCTCGCTAGGGCTCTCTTCGCTTACCTCAGCTCGGGGGAAAATCAACTGAGCTTTCTGGAGGGTGATCTAATCGCTTTGATGGGTGAGTTCGATCTACACACGATGTTCTATGGTATTAAAGTTCTGAGATCTACGGAGAACAAGATCGTTAAGGTCTTGGTTTCTTTTAGTTTTCTGAAATGCGGAAGCACAATGACTAGAATGTGTGTACTTCGTACGGAGACGAGTAAAAGAGATGAGAGATAATTATAACAATGAAATGAAGATGTTTTTATTTAGTGCGACTATTTGAAATGCGTCGCGAATAACAGAATTGCTTATATAATAGTACTTTTATGATAATATCACCAATATATCACGTGTAATGTTAATTATTTCTGCTTTTTATGATATTCCGGATTTTTTAATGCTTTACTTAAGAGAGATATTCGGCTGTAAAAAAAATCCAAATAAGAAGTAAAGTGCCAGCGAGTTTTCTCGTCGCGGATTAGCATATTTTTCATTTTTTTTTTTTTTTTTTTTTTATATCAGGAGACCGGCAGAAGGGATGGCAATTTGGCGAGAACCTTCGTACTCACAGCTCGGGATGGTTTCCCCTGGCGTACACCGAAATTATAATCGACGACACTTTGGGGTAAGCAAACTTCCCTTCCGACCTTTATTGCGGCAATACCGAAATTTCATACTCATGTGATCGTTCGTTATTAACTCTTAAAAATTGTTAATTAATTTTGTTATTAATACGTAACACCATTCCCACACATCTCTGTGTGAATCACGAAAAATGTTGAAACATAAATTTCGACATTATTGTTAAATATCAAATATTTTCCTATGATATATGCATCAATCTCTTTCTGTTATTTTGTATTTAAAACAAAAATAACATATTTTTTTTATCAAATAAATATTTTTATGGCAAATTTTGCATATTTTGTTACGTAAACAAGGTTTAAAAATTCGGATTGTCTTGCATTGTTTTTGTACAATTGATCGTATTGCAAAGATCACCCAGCCACGGAACAAGCAACGGGAGAACTCCGGAGCCGCAGGCTATTCCACCGTGCAAACCGCCTCCTTCTCGACCGCCAGTCACACCAGCTAATATCGACGAGCAGTCTGGTGGAACGACCGGCGCCGCTAACAATTCTTCCAACACCAGCGCCAACAACAACAACAACAACACTAGCAACGCCGGTACACCGACCAACAACGCGAGCGTCTTAGCAACTCCGACTGCACGCCAATCAAAATCAGTAAGCTAGGAATTTGTGATACAAATCTACATTATTGTGTTTGAATAAACACATTTAAATAATTTCTTTAATGTTATTAACATTGTGATTATAGAAGAAGTACAAAGATGCGTGGTGACAAAAGAATCGTTTTTATGTGCTTTTCAGATCCGTCCGTCAAGCACGCTGCCTGCTGTATTAGCAGGAGGACGAAGAGTACAGCCACCCGTACCTCCAGTGCCGCCACCGGCTATGACATCTCTTCACAGTAGCAATGACAGCGGTTTCTCTAATGAACCGCCGGTGCAGCCGGATGTTGATTACAGCGATGATGAGGCAATGAGGTAAGTCCGAAGTCTACGCTCCCCTTTCACATTCAAAATCTTTGTTTATCTATTTTTCATCAACATGTGTGTGACGTTCAATTTGAAACTACTATCACTCTTACTTCACGAAAAATTTATATAAGTCAGCAAGAAAGAACAATATGGGTGTACATAAAGAAAAAAAGTAAAAGTAGATAACTAGATCATAAGGTTGAAAGGTCCATGCGCAGCCAGATAAAAGTGAAACAATATTGTATTTGCGGCAACAAAAACGCGGTAATTAGCGGATTCATTGACTTCATTGTAACTGAGCCAATTTCCAATCTGCGGTTTACATGAACGCGTTTATTTGCCCACAGATATCATTCGATATCGGGGTTGTTCACTTATTACTTGTTACTACGGGCCTTTCGACTCTTTGATATCTTTGCACTCCCAACATCACGCTCTGATAACCAGCCGATAAGTCATCCCCGCTTTGCTCTATTCGACGTGAATGAAAGCTTTTGTGTCATTGTACCTTGTTATTATGTTATCTTCTGTTCCTCTGTAATTAGTAGGATTTTTATCGCTCTTTTTTTTTTGTTTCTCTCTTTCTCTCACCGGAACTCCAATTAAATTGATTTGTATGATACTGCTGCGAGAAGATTTTACGGTGATGGAACAATCAACAACGTGCATGTTTCACACACTCGCCAATTTTCAACAGTAGAAATTGCAATTAATTCTAAATAAAGCGAACTCGAATTGTTATAGTTCGCGCACATAGGAATTTGCATGTTCACTTATCTATCAAGTTTGCTTGTTAATTGCTGTACGTTTCTCTGCACTCGCAATTATATATTTTAATAAATAATTGTCTCACGTATAATTTTAAAATAATGTAAAATCTTTTTTTGACTCGGTTTGTTCATTTATAGAATTATTTTTAACATCTTGCAAGTTAGTTGGTATAGTGATATCGCCAACTTGCAGTCGCAAACTAAATATTTGTACATACATGTATCAGATATTGCCTTAGGAGTATATATCAAGATATATACACCCCAAGTACAGTAGAAGTGATACGATAGGTCTCCCCTTCCTTAATCCAAAAATGCGGATAAGTGCGATTGTCATCTCGCTTTTACATAATAGTTTTAACAATCTCTTTTGATTTTGTACAAATTGAGAAAAGAAGGAAGACACTCGAACATCTCTCACCCGGAAAATTAATTTATAATTTCCGTTCCCTTCGACATTGTATATCTCTCCTTCTTGTAGATACCGCATGCGCTATCGTGGTCGCTGGAAATAAACCGCCGTGGTGGTGGTTCTTCGCGTCTCTTCGCGCCAGATACCCTTTTCTAATCCTTTCCTTCGCGCCCTTGTTCTTGTTTTTCTTTTTTATTCATCGCGTCGCGCGCAAAATGCAGACAACGGCGCCGGAAGCCGCGTAACGGAGGAGAGTGTCAGCTCGCGAAGGACGAGAAGCAGACGAAGGACTGGGAAAACGATTCCTGGAAGACGATCCCGCGGGACGAGAAGTCCTGGCAGTTGTATCGCACGGCGATGGATCTCTGGGCGGAGGCCAAGGCCAACCAGGCGAGCGAGGACTCGAAGAAATATTTCGAGCTGGAGAATGGCGAGTTCACGTTGGAAAACGGCGACATTACCAGGAAGAGAAAGAACAAGAAAGGCATGCAGGCGACGAACGAACGACCCAGCCCGAATCAGCGCACCAAAATGGCGGACGAGCGCAGCGCACCCGCTGTCACTCGTCGCGGCGATCAGCGACGCGTCGACAAGAGAACGCAAGCGGAAACCGAAGAGGACGAGCTCGAGGAGGACGAGGAGGATTTCGAATATCGCAATAACAACAAATTTTACGCGGACAATCGGGACTCTCAGCAGGAACGAAGATCCGGTAACAATTACGACGCGAACAAATACACAACAAAATCTTCGACCTCGTCGTCGGATTCCGACGACGACAGTACCATCACGATTCCGCAATCGGGTCGTAAAGTCGAGCATATAGCGCAGAAGCTCGAGCAGACCGCGCAGAAATACGCGCGCGAGCACAGCCCGCCGAAATTTCTCGAGCGTCGCGAGAGAACGCTCGCGGCGGAATACAAGAATCTAGAAAAAGAAACGCGCGAAACGACTCTCAAGCGCGATCGTCGCGAAAGAATCGCGGATTACAAGAGTTTGGAGCGCGAAAACCGGTCAAACGGTGCGGGCAATCAGCAGAAGAATGTGGAACGTGCGCGGGACGACAAACGTTTGCGCGACGAGAAGCGTTTGACGCGGAACGACAAGCATCTGATGGAACGAGGATCTCGCGAACAGGATCACAAGCAACAAACGTTCGAACGTACGCGGGAAGACAAGCAGCACAGCTACGAGCGCACGAGAGAAGAGAAGCAAAACTTCGAACGCACGCGGGAGGACAAACAGGGTTTCGAACGTGCGAGAGAAGATAAGCAGAGCTTCGAGCGTTCGAGAGATGACAAGCAGAATTTCGAGCGTTCCAGAGAGGACAAACAGAATTTCTCACGGTCTCGAGGCGACGAGGCGCAGTCGTACGAACGAGTTCGCGTGACGCGCAACGATCAAGAGCGCGGATATATCGAGCAGAGAAAAGAAGCGACGGGTTACGAACGTACGTTCGAAAAGAATCGCAACAAAACGATCGAGCGATTGTCCAGTCGAAGATTCGAACGGCCGCGACCGCCGTCGCAGGAGGCTCCGGAACGACCCGTGGGACCGTATCGAGAGCGCAGATACTCGGACAAGGAGGAGGCGATTTACGGAGAAACCGCGCGATACGGAATAGGCTCGCTCGACAGAGATCGCGGTTACGAATCCAATTTCGAGACAAAATTGGAAAGAACGAAGGTGATCGAAAGACACGGTTACAGCGCGGGTGTGCACGGTTCGGATCTTCACAAGCGAAACGGAATATCCAGAAACAACGAGCGAAGCAACGGCGACACCAACAATAACACGCTCAAGATGGAACGGAAACCTTTGCTGCCGCGACAGACGACCGCCATGGGCCACCTCGCGCAAACCGGAAGAGCCTTCGAGGAACCGAAGAGTCCGAAACTCGTGAAGCGCACCAAGTCCTTCTGGAAGTTCCGTCGGGACTCGGAAGTGCTGGAAGGTATGGCGCTCTGGCAGCATCGCTCGCTCGTCGACATCCCGAAGATGATTCGCAAAGAGGACAAAACAGCGGAGAACGAGGAGAAGCAGAGGAAGGACTCGGAGGACGGTAGTCCGAATTCGAGTCTGGGCAACAGCGAGATCACGATCACGAACGAGCACCGGCACGAGGAGCCGAAACCGGCCGAGAGAAGTCACGTGCCCGATAAAACGGATTACTTCGAGGACTTCCCAACACCGGCGGAACGACCCAAGATCACAGAGCGATCGGAGTACAGAATGCAGCAGCAGCAGCATCATCATCATTCGGAAGAGCGCGCGTACTTCGTCGGCAACGTGTCGCGAAAAGCGATCATAGAGAAGGAGCGGAAACGAAGTCTCGAAGCGAAGAGAAACATGATCGTGGCCGAGCTGAAGGAGAACGAGAACAAACGGAACGAGATGATGCGCGGTAGAAAAAATTACGACGAGGAGGAAGACGCGACGTTGAATTTCAGCGAGACCGAGGCCTCCGACGAGGAATCCACGTACAGCTGTATCGTCGTGAAGGATCAGAGCATACCGGAGAAGACGTTGCTGCCGAGAACGAAACTTAGACGGGACTCTGACCGGGATAGAAACACCTGCGGGCCGTGGTACGATCTCTGGGGCGTGGACGCGTCCGTCAAGAAAAAAAAGAAACAGAAGCAGCAATAAAGTCCACGAATCGTTGTGGCAAGAGATAATGTAATTGTTTTGATATAAAAAACCGAAAGAAGAAGAAACACCGATAGAACAATTGGCGTTCTGATGAAAACGAGGGAAAACGCGGATAAACAGAAGAGATCACGATTTTATGTTATTTTTTGTTAAACATTTAAACGTTTGAAATAGGAAACGCACCGGAGAGTGTATTTTTTTTTGCAACAATTGTTATCGCATGTTTTGTCAACACTGTTAGTTCCACTCACGAGGTCTTTTAAGTTTTTTCTTTCAGTCGTATTTTGTTCAGTCCGAATCTTCTTTGTGGCTATCTATCCATCGAGTAGCTGCGTTATCGATTTTCACATGATCCCTTTGCGCATCTCTCCCCCATTTTGATGTGCTCGCTAATCCCCTCTCGATGCTGCTTTTTTGTCTCTTCAACGATTGGCCGTTGATGTTGTAGGAGCTTATATCGTCGAAGAAGACGCTCGATACACTTTTGCGACGACTTCTAGGAGATTCGTCTCTTCGAAGTGGAAACAAAACAACTTGATTCATCGCCATCGAGCGGCTAGTGGTGTTGTCCGTCGTTGCTGCACGTCTCAGCTCTGTTTGATTTGTTATTTGTCGCTGGCATAGTGCTAGTTGTTCGCTAGTGATTATTTCGCTACTCTCTCTCAATTTATATCAATCTTTCAATTTTTTTTTTTTTATCGATCGCTTCGTTTTTTGTTGCAAATTGATCCAAACGTTCTATCGAACGTTTTATTTTTTTTTTGTGTATAAATCTCTCTCTCTCTTTAAATAGTCTAAATGATCTTTGTGTTTTGTTCTATATAATAAAGTATACACACAAAACGATATTCTTAACGTATTCTTAATTAAAAAATACGAATAATAATTTTAGCGCGCTAGGAAAGATTTTTACCTTCAAGTTTTAAGTTTGTGTTTTATAAAAATTTTTACACCAATTTTTCACCAAGTTCCTCCATTGTTCGTACGTTGGTCACGTGTGATTGTCCAGTAATTTACGAATATACGTAAATCAAGTCACGAGATTAACTGCAATTAACGCCTTTCAGGACTAACATATTCGCGACTGTGAAGCTGCGAAAGACGAAGACTAACGACCGCTCGGCGCCGGCACTGTCATGAGAAAAGTTATTTCTCTAGATTAGAGACGTGTTCTTACTTTTTTTTTTTGTGCCAGTAGCGAGTATCCATGACCGAGAGAGGGAGAGAGGCGAGATTGTCTCTCTCGTTACAAAAGAAGTTCCTTCGTCGCGCAGCTCCCTACGCGAGAGTGAAAATCGATTGCCACGCGATCATCTGTCCGCGAATTTTTTCAAATAGGGAAATATATAATACAACGCTAACCCTTTTCCGTATCCGTATTGCCTCTTTGTTGCATATACATGCCACTTCTCTGTGTTTCTCTTCAAGTGGAGACTCGCGTAAGTCAAGCGTAAGTAAATTAGCGCACGCAAGCGCGTATATAGAACAAGAAATCATTTATTCTTAAGCGTAAAAATGTTTTTATTATAAATGTGTACCTAAAATTAAGATTTTTACGTCGTAAAACAAGCAAAAAAAAAAAAAAAAAACAAGTTTGCAATGGCGTTTGTACCAAATCGTTAGGTATGTATATACGTATAGAATCTTGGTGGCCTAGAGATTAATCGATAGGTATCGTAATTCAATAATATCACTAATGATGTATCAAAAGAGACGAACACTGCCGCCCCATTTTTGAATCAAAATCTAAAAAAAGTTGCTCAGACTCTGATTTGAGGGTCTTTTTTTTTTTTTTTTTTGAGATATCGACGCGCGCGCTTATCTAGAACTCTGTAGATAAAGCATTTATATGGAAAAAAAAATTTTTTTAAATAAAAAACGATTTGTAGAGAATTTTTGCGAGGTGTTACGCCGTTTTAGAGTGTTAAGTAAACAATTAACATGATATCGATATATAAATACAGTTGCAATATCAAACGAAAGATTAACGTGTAAATGTGTTAATATAGTTCGAAGATATTATGTAAAGAATAATCAGTTATTTTTGGGACTGTATTAACATATTTTGTAAGTTAAGCGACACACGCACACGTACGCGTTTGGTGACACGCGTACTCGTGTGTGTGTCAACAAAGTTTTGTAGTATTAAGTCCTTTTAGAGTCTTTCTCTCTCTCTGACGAGAAACGAGTGAAAATCAATGAAAAAAAAAAAAAAAAAAAAACAAAAAAAATTGTTAGGGGGATCCTTCCATTTATTCACATCTGTCAATGTGTATTATATATATATATATATATATATATATATATATACATTTAATATATTCTATTTGATATATCTATATATTTAAAATCTGAATAAAATCTTTGGTACATTTGGTACTGAGAGAAGGTTAGTGTCGGATAATTTGATAGACTCGAATTTTGCAACGCGCTCTTTTGAAGTCTTTTTCGAGAACAATTTTAATATATACACATCTCTTAAGATAGATATTTAAACGTTAAGATAAAAAAAAAAATAAGTGTTTTTTCTCTCCAGAGCGTAATTTTTAGGCGCGCTAAAATTAAAAAAAAAAAAAACAAAAAAAAACAAAAAACAAACGTCCACACACAATTCGAAGCAGAAGGTATAAGGCGGGTTTATATACGCGATAGCTAAGTTAGTGTATTATTAAGTATATATTTAAGACGCAGAAGTGTTAATATACATTATGAAAAAAATAATAATATATATGTTATAACTATATAAATACACACACACACACACACACACACACATAATATATTACAAATGATTATTCTCTCGAATTTTTTGATTCTGGCGCGATTTGGGTTAGGCTAACTATAGATTAGGCTAACTAAACTTGTTGTATCAAGAATCATGTATACATGCACATAAACGTTATATATATATTATATATATCATTGTTATATTATACATTAATTTTTAAACGTAAATTTTACAAATCCACAATCGTCGTGTTCCTTCTTCTTTTTTTATCCTTTTCCAACAAAAAAATTTTTCCCGTACGTCAGGCGAGATATAGACCCCCGGATACGTAAATCCCGAAATTAAGCCCGTCTTCATAGTTCCTCGTCGGAATATTTTACGAGGAAATCCCGCGATCCGTCACAAGATTAGTTCCCCCGTGATTTTTCAGCGAAAATATCTGCATATGAATATTCGCCATTTTTCACAGGTAAGTGTTCGTCAATCACAACGGCCGATGCATTTGTTTAGAGTAACCGTCGAGCATATTCAATGGGAGAAAATAAAGAGTGCTCGACCAGTTTTTTTTTCATGAATTTCTGATAAAAGAGAGAAAATGTGTCGCGCGGTATAAAAACGGAAGCTATCATTTTCTTGTTATCTCCATTTTTTTTTGCAAACTACTTAAAGTGTCGGAAAGTTATACATAGGCGCCATTATGTGGTAATTATCGGAAAATCGAAGGTAGACGGTCGCATGGGAATTATCGTAACAGCCGCGAGACGCGTTGTTCCGCGGTCGTGAATTTTTCTCATTTCTCTCGACTCGAAATTGCTTTGTTCTCGTCTCTCAAAAGCTAAAATACGTTAATTCTTATACAGATTATAATCTTTTGTACATTTCGTTTTCTTATTAAAATTATGTTGATTTTCTAAATATTTTACATCGGTGAATAGCTCTTTTACATTCTCTGTGACACAATTGTCACTTTTGAAGTGATTATACACGCGCGCGCGCACACGTCACTAAACGCTGAATATCGTCAACATGGAGGTCAACATGCGTCCCTTGCGGCATGTATTAAGCCCGAGTACGATTTCGAGTCAATATAATGTATACGCGAGAGCGTGCATGTGCGTGTGTATTTGCTTTACTTTGAACCACCGAATTCTATAGACGGCTTTTTGGCTTATGGAATGCGTCAAAGCCGGACGTATTTACCAAACGGTTAATTATCACTCGCGGTTGCTCATCCTCTCTCTAAATTGCCTTCCCTCATTCGGCCGTCCCGCAGAATGATTGGCCACCGTCGAATCAAAAGAAGGAACGACGCCAAAATGAAAAATATCTTACTTCATTTTCTAACAAACATCTTCATTTGCGTATACAATATCATTGTTTGTTTTGTACACTTTTATTACAACTATATTACAAAAATTATTTTAATTTCTTGCGTTACTTTCCTTCGCTACAACGCAAAAAAAAAACCCTCAATGTTGCTTTAAAATGAATATTTCGGTGCTGTGCCGCACCATTCCTGAAGAAATACCAAAATGTCGTTCAACGGCGAATCCGAGGGCGCCTGCCTGGCTGTGTTGACCAACTTGGTCCAATCGTCGCGGTCGGCCACGCGGTTGGTCTCTTCGAATTTGACGACTGGGCCGCGAACCGGATATCCCGTGATCATGCACTGCTGAAGAGGCGCGCCAGTATTACTCGGTGACGTCAGGGAGCCTACGTAGACGCCTCTCTGGTCGACCGGCAGACCTTGTTCGACCTTTTGATCCATCGATATCGCCAGTACCCATTCCCTCGCCTCCTCACGTTGTTCCGTTGCGACGCCGAGATTCTCCTGAAGCGGAACTTTCAGCGGAAAGTCGGTAACATGCAGATCGTCCACATCGAGGCCGTCACTTTGCTCCTCGATGCACTCTTCCAGATCGAGGAAGTGATTCAAAAAGACGAAAGCTTCGCTCAGAAGATCCGCGGAACGCAGCGCGATGCCGGCCTCGTAATAATATTTGTCGGCGTGAAGAATGTCGGTGTATCGTAGAAGACTGACCGACGTTTTGACAACAACGCCAGAAAGCGCCGGAAACGAATGGCAGCCGTGCTTCACCGCAGAGAAGTGCGCGGCCTCAAGAAGTCGCTCGAATCTGTCGGAAGACGACGAGCGACAGAGACTGTGCAAAATATCGCGGAGCTGTGCCAGATATCTGTAATTAAATAAAATCAATTGAAACAAATTACAAATTACAGCACAATTATTATTCGACATCCGAATCGATATATAAACCTGAATTCCTGTTGTGCCGCGTTCAGTATGCTCTCCGCCAATTGCAGATAAAGATTGAAATTCTGTGAGATCGCGGGCGCGCCGTACTGCGCGTAAAGCTGTAGCGCCTGTGGCGCTGAGTCGCTCTTCAACAACTGCGCGGCACGTCGCGCCACAAATTTATGCAGCACTTCCGGACTCTGCGTAGCCGCGGCGTCAAACACCTGACTCCACTGACCCTTGCGCGCCATAACTTCAAGCGCGGCGTTCCCGTCCACTTCCGCCAGTCGTTCTATCTGACCTTCGTTCGCCATGACGTCTCGGTACTTCTCCTCGAGATACGGCTCGAGATCGGGCGCGAGTTCGCGAACGATTCGACGCGCGCGATCCCACTCGCCGACCGCCACTAACGAGCTCACCGCGTCTTTTAAACGATCAGCTTGAAGGAATACCTATATATTATAACAAACACGATAATAATTACTCAGTGCGTTTGCGAGCTATTTTGTGTAAAATAAAAAAATAAAGAAATACCTGAGCAGCGAGCGCGTGTTCGCCAACGGAGAACAAGCGTGCGCCTAAATCACCGCCGACTTCTGCCGCCGTTTCAGGATCGGCCTGATGTAAGAGAATGTCGGCTGCGCGAATGAGATAAGATCTCGGTGCCTGCGGATTTAGAATTAGAGTATCCAAGGCGGGTCGCACTTCTCCAAGATCGAGCCACTTGCGAGCTTCTTCCAACGCGTTTGCTCCGTCCAATCCTGCGCTTTTCTGACCCAATTCTCTGCGCAGCGCTGCCTCCTGACTAGGCAAATATTCTCGACATACTCGCAACGCCTCGGACCACATACCGGCCGTCTAAAATGAGGAAGTTGTTAAATGAAATAATTTTATCATTGAAAGAGATATAAATTTAAAAAAATGTCACATTTTTATCTGAAATAATAAACCTTGTAATGTTCGATTATCATCTCCGGCTTGTGGGCTCTCAAGAGAAGAGCCTCCGCTGTGGCGTAATCTTGTGCCTCGGCAGCTTCAGCGGCTCGGGCAATCAAGACTTGCGCCACCGCTTCTTCGCTGTGCGATCGTGCAACGTCCTCGGCGGACTCCCAGTCGCGGTTGTGAATATACATTTGCACCGCTTCCATGGCTTTGCCGGCCTGCACGAATTCCTTCTCGGCCTCAGTAAAGCGACCCTCATCCTCCAGAGCCATGGCATAGCGATAGTGAACCTCCTTTTTCTGATCCATTGTTCCGTACTTGGAGACTTCCAGTGCCCACTCGAACAAGTTGGCTTCGCACGCCAATTGCAGACAGGGATCCAAGTAATTGAGTCTCATCAGAAGTCGCGCACCTAACTCCGGAGCCAATGTTCGGGCCCACATTAAGGCAACCTATAAAATAAATTTGGATCTTCAACGCGATAGTGGAAGATAAAAAATTCAAAAGTTTTTTTAAACCGCGTAAAATTCACCTGTTGTGCCGCTTTCTCTCCCGAGGCCTTCTTGGCGACTCTCAACGCATCCTCCCACATATTCGCCGATTTATAAGCTGCGATCGCTCCGCGCCAATCGCCAGCACCTAATCAAAATACATAAAAATTTTCGTGACTCGTAGAGTTCATCTATTTGTACTAAATTTATCTTAAAAAAATATTATTTTTTTATAACAAAACAAAAGATGATTTAAATCTGAGACCTAGGAAGTGCTCCTCTGCTTCTCTCGGTTTGCCGGCTGCTTCTAACTCTCTTGCCAGATGCGTGTGAGTGGTCTGAAGCAAATCCGGTCGATGTTTGGCAACTAGTCTGATCATGTCACCACGCTGTCCCGCTTTGCGATGCATAGCGATCGCTGCGTCGTGATCACCAATCGCGACGTAGAGCGCCTCGGCGTGGCGCAACTCGCCGGCTTGCTGCAAGCTGTCGGCGTGTTTCGCCAACACCTGGTTAGCCTCATCGCTTTTCATGTGTTCTTGAGCCACCTCGTGCGCACGCATCCAATCACCGGCTTGCACATGAACGTCCACGGCGCGTCGAGCATTTCCGCAGCGAATAAATAAGCTCTCTGCCAGGCTCCGTTCACCGATCGACGAAAAATATTCGCCTAGCTTCTCACATTGCTGAAGAATCTCGGGGTCATCGTCCTCGATTACCTGAAGAATAAAAATATCATGACAGAAAATTTAACGAATCGTAAAACATTATTTATATCACGCTAGCACAAACTACCTGTATAATTTGTAAAGCTTTCTTCCACTGTCGTGCGTTAATAGCAGCTTTTAACGCTGACACAGTTTCTCCTGCCTCAATAAAGTGGTTGATAGCGGCGTCGTAATGACCGTTCGACGCCAAATGCTTTCCCCAATCCCTTTCTAATTCGACTACTAAAGTAGGATCAACTTTGCGAGCTAAATCGAGAGCTCTAGCGAAAACACCGGCCTGAGCGTAACAACTTATTGCCTCGGTGCCAGCGCCGGTTTTCTCCAACAGTTCTCCGGCGAGTTCCATGAGCTCAGTCGCCTTGAGACTATTGATAACCTCCTCGACAATTCGTTCATCTTCTAGCAACTCGTTGTCGGCGAGGATCAGTCTGGCGGCCCGTCCGGGCCGGTGAGCTTCCAGGTAAAGTTTGACAGCTCTTCTGGGATTTGTGTTCTCTATAATAGAAGCCGCACGAGCTGTCTGACCGCTGTCTAATAACCAAGCCAGGTGGCGATCTCGCAGTTCTGACAGACCGTTCCAGTTACGAGTCTGAGCTAAATTCAAAGCATCCTCCCAGTGCCAGTAACGTTGATACATGTTTAACGCCTTGTCCAGTTCGTTTTGCTCCAGATAAATCGCCTCGGCGGTCTTCAGATCGCCATTCAATATGGCCAATCGAGCCCAGCAGTCCGGATTAGCCATAGGATCGTTGCCCGTCTCCTCAGCGTACTTTTCGCCAATCTTGAAAGATAAAAACGAACGAAAAAATGATGACATTTTAACGTGTCTCTAAGAAACAAATATCCGCGTAATTATAAAAAAAAAAAAAAGAAGAAAAGTACCTCGGCAGTCTCTTTCAGAAATCTTGAGCAAGCCACGTCACCCATCGCGGCATAGCATCTGGAAGCTATCATGAGTTTTTTCTCACTCATCGCGTTTCTAGCCACGTTCTCCCACATACTCTCTGTCTGCGGATTGTCGCCCATATTCTCCAAAAACAGTACAATTCTGCCGAAATCGTTGTCGTGCAACGCGGTACCGAACTCGATCAGTCCCTCATCTAGTAAATATGGCACCTTAACGCCGTGTTCTTCCACCATTACGGACGTTTTGCCATCTTCTCGAACGATATCCGCCACGTCGCCTTTGATTGGCGTTAGCGTGGCTGCTTCTGGTGCATCGACGTTGTACCAAACAGCCATGGTCTGACCTGTCTGAGCGACGACGACGTCGCTACTGGGTACCCAAGACGCGAAGGACGCTCCGGTCACTAGTAGAACCCTAATGATTTCGTAAAATAAAAGAAAAGCAAAGAAAATATTAAAATCGTAATAATCTAACAAAAGATAACTTTTATTGAAAATATTTATTCTACTTCGTAATTTTACCTGCCACCCGTGTCGTCGCTTAACCAGAGCCGACTTCGTTTGTCGCGCGAAAGTAATCGATGACCCGTCTCGCTCAATTCGAGCCAATCAATGCGAACGTCGTGAACGATAACGCTGATGGTCGCGCTAGTTAGCAGATCGATCACTCGAATGGTTTTTGGATCCAAGAGATAGGCCAGTTTTTTGTTGTCGCCTCCGCCGGAGGTAGGTCGTTCGTTCACGCGGACGCTGACCACGTGCGGATTCACCGCCTCCGTTCGCACCGAGCCGAGCGCCTCGTTCTGTCCGTACTCGACGATCGTTAGCTCGCCGGAGCAAAAAATCAGACAGACAACGGGATATTCGAAGAAGAACTTCTCGCTGCCGTCGGGATGATTTTCCCACGGGATCTCACTGATCAGGCCCAGCTCGATGTCGCCGATCAGAAGGGTGCGCGCGGTGCGCGCCACTACGTTGTTATCCCTGCGTCCCAGAACACGCACATCTTCGATTTCCAGACCCGTCTGCGATCTGACGACGATGGAGCGCTGGGAGGTATTGTTCAGCGGTCGGATCACCACCTGGCTTGGACCTACGTAGGCGACCTCGTGACTACCGCGAACCACCGTGCGTCTGAAAAATGAGATTCATGAGTGCGATGTTCATGGATTCTTCTATATTTGAAATACGTACCTCAAAATAGTTTCAAACTGCTCGACACCGCCACACAAAGTCCCAATTACCAATTTCGAACCGTCTCTCCTCCAGGCGAGCGCCGAGATCGTGTAAAAATTGGGCAAGTCTCGCACGTTGGTCTCCTCCCAGACACCTCTTCGCGGCGTCCAATCGAAAATGCGTATCTTGTCCCAGGATCCCACGGCTACGCTCTGACCGCTCGGGCTACAGCAGGCCACGGTCATCTCTCTTTCTTGAGGATCCCGACTGAAATCGAAATTTTTCACCGGCTTGCCGTACGAGTCGTACAGAGTCACCCGTTTGTCGCAGCCTGCTGCGAGAATGTGCGACTGCGGCCACGCTAGGGCGTAAGCCGGCACACCGTGAACGCACACGCGTCCCGAGGGCTCCGCGTTACCGTCCTCAGAGATGTAGTAACGAATTATACTGCCGTCGGCGTGACTCGACAGGAAGCCACTGCCGCGAACACTGGAATCAAAAAAAAAAAAATGTATCATTTCAAATAAAAAATATATTCAAACAAGATCGCAACTCACTTGCTAGCCAAAGCTATCGTCATAGCATCGGAAGTGTACAAGGTCTGTGCTTTTTGCGATTTTACCATAGCCGCGCGAACTTTGCCATCGGCTAATCCTATTACAATAGGACCTTCCCCAGGCCAAATCAGACAAGTTACCGCCGAACTCTGTTTGAATTTATTGCAAATTACCTTCTTATCACCCCTAAAATTATTTTTTTCATATATTAATAGATTGTCAAAAAATTTAAAATTCGTCGTTTGATCAAAATAAACCAGTTACCAGTTTTCGCCTATTTTATACACGTAGACAATGCAGTCGGATTGACCAACTGCTATTTTAGTCGATTCCGGGGAAAAAGATATCCCTTTTATTATGTAACTCTTTTTGCCAAACTACAAACAAATTAGTGTCGACATCGGTATCAATTAAATTTAGAACCGTGTGTATATATAGAAGACAAAAAGTACCTTGGAATCGATGGGTTTAGTGGAGAACCTGTCACGTTTTGCACCGTTTTCGTCGAACAGGTAAATAGAACGATCCGAAGACGCTACAGCTAGCTTCAAGTTGTTCGGCGACCATGCTATGTCAATCACTTTATTCTCGAACTCCTAAACACACATACATGTGATTAACATATTGCTTGCTGTGTTAAATTGTTTTATTTGATTTTTATTTTTAGGTACTTATTATATATAAACAAACAAATAATCAAATAAACAGAGTTGGATGATAAAGTCGGTTGTGTTGTTTCTTTTTATATTTCAAATACAAATTTACTCACCTGCACTGGCATGACGGTGCCAAGATACTTTAGCAACATGTTTCAATTATGCGATATTATTTCTGGTTTTATTTTGTTATTATTTTACACACAAGCACAGTCTGAAAGGTACAAAGTAGCTATAACCCATGTCTCTGATCCCCATGTGTACGTTTCGGTTGCTTAGTGACAGAAACTTCAAAGAAACACGTGTGTGCACAATGTTTTATATATATATATATATATACTACATGGTTGAAATCTGTAAACTATTCAAAGTTTAAATCTCAATAATTGACATTTTAGTTAGCAATTAAAATTCAAACTTCGAACATTCAAAATGATTAAAATCGATCAATCGATCGAATTGTTCGAATGCGATTGGTCGGTTCTTCTTCGGTACGAGATTTATCTTGTGTTATCAGCAGCCGGTTTATTAGGGCAGCTGGTTAATTCGGCTTGCGTTCCGATATTCACCGCCAGTACTGAAAATCTATAGCATATGTGACGTGAAGTGTAGAGTTTTAATACTGGCAGCCTTAGTCGGGCGTTGTTTGGCCGCGCTCTCGGTTCTGGCCATGCCATGATCCCGTGAGTTGGTCTATTGGCGGCAGTGCGGTCCGGACGGCACACGTACGGGCGCGAAAGGAATGTTCAGAGATTTCCAAGATGGCGAAGAAGACGCAGGCGGAAAAAGCGGCGCAAAGTGAAGAAACTGCCAAGGCTAATGATGAAGCGCTCAACGAAGACGAGGAGCCCAATTTCAGCGATCCCGAAGATTTCGTAGACGATATCACCGATGAAGGTGGGTTATCTTTTTTTTTTTTTTTTTTTGTTTTCCTGCTCCCTTTGTCAGCCTCGAAGCAATGACATTCGTCCACGTTCGTCGTCGCTAACATTTTCGCGAGAATTGGCGAATTTTGCAGTTATACACGCGCGAATACGATAATCGCGCGCAAAAGAATTCACGAACTATTGTTCGCCGCTTTGTCAAATTTGCGATCGGACACACGCAAATGTCACACGGCGCAAACAGATCGACCTATGCACGTGGCATCGCGGACAATTTAACCTATAAACGGTTTCTCACGGCGCATTTCTTATCTTGCCGCGTTACACAGATATGCATGCATACAACTTTCACTTTTTGCATTCCAATATTCTACACTCGCGGTATTGAAAAATGGATGGTGGTGTTATGAACAGAACTGCTAAAACGTTTTATATAATTTCTTATATTATTTCATATATATATATAATGGAATAGTATTCACGGTGCTACTTAAAATGGCTACTACTGTGTCAACTATAACCAAAATTGTGAAACAAGAAACTCCAAAACCTGCAATTTTAACAAAACTTTGACACTATAAGAGATCGTATGTTCTTGTACTTATGAAACACAAATATTTCATAAATATCTGCAACATGTGTGTAAAAAATTGTTTTAAATGTTTTCTTAAGACTTGTCGAAAAATAAATTGCTTTTGTAATGATAAACACCTACATATTTGCTTCATAAACTTGCAGAGCTTCTTGGCGACATCTTGAAGCAAAAACCTTCAGAAACAGATGGCGTGGAATCCGTCATTGTGGTGGATAATGTACCTCGAGTAGAGCCAGACAAGTTAGAGAAGCTTCAGTCTGTCATTAACAAAGTATTAGGGAAGTTCGGTACAATAGTCAATCAGTACTATCCGGTCAATGAGAGCGACGGCAAGACCAAAGGTTATATATTCCTTGAATATAACAATCACTTAAACGCTCTCACAGCTGTCAAATCAACTAACAATTACAAGATTGATAAGTCCCACACATTCAAAGTTAATCTTTTCACGGATTTCAAGAAGTTCGAAGATATTCCTGAAGATTGGGAACCTCCGAAGGCTCAGCCCTTCAAGGCTGCTAGCGATTTACATTATCATTTGCTGGAGCCTGATGCTTATGATCAATTCTGTGTTCTTTGTGGCAATGGGGCGGGTGTGTCGGTGCAAATTTGGCAGAATTCCGCACCGGAACCTACTCTTCTCGAAGAACGTAATCGTTGGACGGAAACTTACGTAAAATGGTCGCCGTTAGGTACATATTTGGCCACATTTCACAAACTTGGAGTTGCGCTGTGGGGTGGTCCTAACTTTACTCAACAAGCTAGATTTAGCCAACGCGGTGTGGAGTGTATCGATTTTTCACCGGAAGAACGTTACCTGGTGACTTACACACCGCGCACTGATCTCGGACAAGACGGAAAGCGCTTAGTAATCTGGGACATTCTAACCAGCCAGGAGAAACGATCCTTCTTCCCCGATGGATCTTCTGTCTGGCCAATTTTCCGCTGGTCTCACGATGATAAGTATCTGGCTCGTATGGGCGAAGACATCCTCAGTGTGTACGAAACTCCGTCGTTCGGTTTGTTGGACAAGAAGAGTATAAAAATCCCAGGAATTAGAGATTTCAGTTGGTCGCCGACGGATAATGTTCTCGCTTATTGGGTGCCCGAGGACAAGGATGTTCCGGCGAGAGTAACTCTGCTCGAGATACCCAATCGAAATGAAATACGAAATAAAAATTTGTTTAACGTAGCCGACTGCAAAATTTTCTGGCAGAAATCTGGTGATTATCTATGCGTAAAAGTCGACCGTTTTGCTAAGCGCAAGGAAAAAACGGAGCAGAAGTACACTGGTATGTCGTACAACTTTGAGATTTTCCACATGAGAGAGAAACAAATCCCTGTGGACAGTGTGGAGATAAAGGAACCGATTCATGCTTTTGCGTGGGAGCCGGTAGGCAGCAAATTTGCCATCATTCACGGAGAAATACCGAGTGTGAACGTCAGCTTTTACGAGGTGCGATACGGTCATCAGCCGGCACTTCTCAAACGATTAGAAAAAAAAGCTTGCAATCATCTGTTTTGGTCGCCATCGGGTCAATTTATTGTTCTCGCCGGTCTAACAACAATGGCTGGCGCTTTGGAGTTTATCGACACTAATGATTTTACTATAATGAATTCCACTGATCATTATCAAACCTCAGACGTGGAATGGGATCCTACTGGCAGGTGTGTTCACAAATAGTTTTTTTTATATCAGCTTACAATATAGTTGTCGCAATAGTTTTCTTATATCAACTTAAATTAAAAAATCAATTTTTTCACTCTCCTCTTCATGGTTAATTTCAGGTATGTTGTCACAGCGGTGTCTAGCTGGAAGACTAGCGTCGATAACGGTTACTGGATATGGACCTTCCAGGGTCGTATTCTGAAGAGAGTCAACTTGAATGCGTTCAACCAGCTGCTATGGCGGCCACGACACCCGAGTCTGCTCACTGCGGAGCAAATCAAAGATATCAAGAAGAATCTAAAGAAATACTCGGCACAATTTGAGAGCAAGGATCGTATGCGATTGACACGCGCTTCGAAGGAGCTGATTGAAAAACGCTGTTTGTTGATGAAAGCGTTCGAGGAGTATCGCAAGAAACGCATGGAAGAATGGAATAATCAAAAGCCTCGTCGTCTCGAGTTACGTTGCAATATCGACACGGATGAATTAGATTCCGACTCAAAAAATGTAGAGGAAGAAGTTGTAGAATTTTTCGTCAAAGAGGAAACATTCGTGATCGACGAAAAGTAAACGTTTATTGCCGAGAAGCTTTTTAAATTGTTCAACACGTCTTCCGGCTTGGAAATCTCGTGCGATATCAATTGCCATCGTGTTATCGTCGACAGTTGCAGCGATTACAATCGCTGCATTTATCTTGAGTTTGTGTGAATCATGAAGGATAACAGACAATTACCCTTGTATTATTTCTATTATTGCTACAGTCAGAGCGAAGTCGCTTTTATAAACCCAGTGCTGCGCAAAAAGCGTCGGCATCGCAACAACACTAAATTTTATCACATCCCGTATAGAATAGCACGAAGAGAAAAACTTGTTTTGTTTATTGACTCTCTGAATAAAGTGCTAATTTATAACATCAGAAAAACTCATTTCTAAAATTTGTGTACACAGAGATTTAAAAAAGATTTCAGAAAACTTGTGCGAACTATTTGGAATCGAGTTAAGCATCACAGGAAAAATTAACGTACAATCTTTCTATTTATTTAACAAATATATCTTACACAGAATTGAACTTAAAATATGGAATTTGTTTTAACACTACCCCTTGGCACTCTGCGTTGGCGTAGCGACAAACGGTAGATAAAATTAAGTTTTTCTGGAGTGTAAAATACTAAGACGTTGTAATCTTCAGAAATAATAGCGAAAGAAGAGTACGATAGCGCACACCCAAGCTGGCGGTACTCGGTCTTGTTGCGAAAAGGTCTTCCTTGTGACAGGCTTAGCGCAAGAGAACAATCGTGCCTGTTCCTCGTGCAGCGCGTTCTGCAACTTCTTATTTTTCGTCACCAGAGCCAACTGCGTCTCAAGATCTCTATTCACCGATCTATAACCTAAACAATTAATATTACAATATATATTGCATTTTTGCAACAAGAATTGATTATCTTTTGCTTAAAATCTATCGAGAAAAAACATCACGGTATATGCGTAAAGAGCAATGTTAAAACAACAGTTTTTTTATGTCTACAACAACAAAAATCTTACCGAAATTCGGTGAGCCTACAAGAGTCAACGAGGGTTTCTGCTGATTTGGGAAAGTGTACCAAAGACCTTTCGCATGGTATGTCCATCCTGGTTTAACAAACTCCCATAATATCACTCTTTCCTGCTGATTCAGTTTTTCACATAAATTATAAAACGAATTCTCTATCGTACTATATGCTGCTGGAATCTTTCCGGCAATTCCTTTGGCATCTGAAAAATGGGTAAATTGGATCATGATTGAAATATTTAAACAATAAAAAAAATGAAGATAATTTATGTTGATATAAATCAATAAAAATGATAGCGCACTGAAAAATCCATTGGCAGTAGGGTGCGCTGTTAGAAGATGACACGTTGCTCGACACTCTCTGAGCACAGCCTGACTGTAATCGGAAGTTAAATTGAAATAACCGGTCGCCAGTTTAAGCGTAGCTCCTGCTGGAGCTGTTCGTAAAAGCTTCAATGTTACTTCGCTATCATGATAGATATTTAGCTGACCCATTTGCACCAGTGGAAATATCCATGTGTCCGCATCTACAGTATCTTGAAACATTTGCATATTTTGAAATAACGATTTTATATATAAAAAATTTACTCTTTAATTTTTAATCTAATATTTTTTTTTTTTCAATACCTGTTTTGTCGAGATCAGTACGCTTTTCTATTTCGCTTTGAAAAAATGTTTGTATTCTCGATGCGGCCTCTTGAGTAAAAGTGTTCTTCGATCCTTTGTAAGGATGACAATTTATGGCAGAATTCAAGTTTGTATCACCGTCTGGTTGCAACAGAAAGCTAAATTCTGTCACTTTCTCGATCAGTGTATGATAAAAGTCACAAAGTTCCTTGCAATCTTCGATAACAAGATATCGATCCTGACGATTTGTAAAATAATCGTTACTGAGATTTGCCCTAAAATATTAAAATGATTAATTACATAAACAATTTTGTCTCTTTGTTCATTTAATTCAATCAATTTGTTGTAGCAGCTCACCCGCTAATAATCAAGTCGTCATCAATCATGTATATTTTCATGTGTTGCAGACCAATCAACTCGTTGAAACGATCTGGGATCGCTGCCTTCATAATACCGCGCAGATTTGGCGTGTGATAAAGAAATATCTTGCAATTTTTCCCATAATTGCCTTTCAACAACGGTTCAAGCATCTTTCGGGAGTTTTGTTTGCCTCGCGAACCTCTCATGTAATCCAACAAAATTCGTACTTGCACATTGCCATCACCCGTATTCATTGCTTGTTTTATCACGTTTACCTGCGCAAAGAAACAAACTTTTGTTTTTTTTGAAAAAAAAAAAAATTAACTTTTGTTTTAATTAAAATCATAGACTTCTTACAAATTTGTTCTCAATTTCGAACAAAACACCTCTAATTTTGCTCGAAACGATTACCTCGACAAGATTTTGTAACAGAAGCATTATTTTATTTTTATTGTACCTACTAGCTCGGTCTCTAGAGTGCCAGTACCTAAATACAGAGAGGCCAATGTGATTCTCTTCCTGGCGTGCCTGCATTTTTCCAACAGGGTTGTGTAAAACGCTTGTGGCTCATGAACTATAGTGATCTATTAAAAGAAAACAGTTTTAGTGAAGAAATAAAAAAACCATTTAATATTTTTCATATACTCTTTATAGCATAAATGTGTGCGATTACCTTGGAGCTATTCACAGGGAACACGGGAGCTACAGTGCGCAACCAGGATAACAAGTGAACTTCCTGTTGGACGGGAATTTCCAAGTCTTGCAACTTTTCGTCGTCCAATATCATTATAAGCGACTTGTGTCTGACAAACAGTGAATTTATGCAGCAAGTCTTTGCTTTACTTGCAACATCTAACAAGTTTCGTTCATGAAACCTAAGACACAGATGATGAGAAACAATAAGAAATGCAAGTAATTTATTATTTATATTAGTACACGATAAAAGATTACATCATATATTGCGGTACAAAACTTTAATCATACAAATAATATAGAATCAACAATAACATGGATGGAACACACTGTTCCTTCAAGCATTTACATTAATTTATTTGATGCACTTAATTGTTATTATTAGTCATTTAACATTTATATATTTCTCATGTGCATTGCCACATAGCATTGTTTATACAGAATATGTCAATTCTATTTTTAATACACACAATGAGTTAAATGTCACACAAAACTATACTCGAAGGTTATACTTTGTTAATCTAGATTTTCACGCAAGATCTAACATGACACGCGGCTTGTACACCAATATCAAGACAATTCGCACACACCGTTTCAAGATTCGCAGAGCTGAATTGTGCATGAGGGAATTGTCATAAATAATAAATAAACATAAACATTCATATAAACAATCACATGCGTGACTTTAACTTATCCCCTTTCGCCGTTCTCGTTCAACTGCTGCATGTGTCATGTGTCACATGCAAGTTGCGCGCGCAGCGTGTCAGCTGCGTCGGTAATTGCCGATCAAAAAGTGGGTGTTGGTGGACGCAGGTGCTAGCGCACGAGCGCCACCACGTGATTCGCGCTCGCGCACCTCGTGATTCTCTCGCGATCGATTATTATTTATCCGTTCCCACCCACTCCGTTTTTTCCTGAGGAGAGCGCAGTTCCTGGAACACGACAGGGCGGCAAGTGTCCCGGACAGATCGCTATCACGGTTCGCTTATCTTCGGATAATCTCAATGCTCGAATAAGACCGACTTGACTGACACGTTGTTACTTCCACCGCAAAGATGGGCTCGCTCTTTCGTAGCGAGGAGATGACCTTGTGTCAGCTGTTTCTTCAAAGCGAGGCTGCCTATGCCTGTGTCTCTGAGCTTGGCGAGCTCGGTCTGGTGCAATTTCGCGATGTAAGTATCACAATTCTCTAATCACATTTTTATTTTACTAGACTTGGTAACTATCGCGACAGCTCTTTGTGTCTCGCTGGACAGATCTAGACAATCTGGATTTTTTTCTCGTTATCGTGTCAAGGTTGCTGATCCGTAAAATGTATGTATGTTGTGTGTTAGTTGAATCCCGATGTCAATGCCTTCCAACGAAAATTCGTCAACGAGGTACGTCGGTGCGACGAGATGGAGCGCAAGTTGCGCTACTTGGAGAAGGAAATCAAGAAGGATGGTATTCCGATGTTGGATACTGGCGAGAACCCGGAAGCGCCGCAGCCACGGGAGATGATCGACTTGGAGGCCACCTTCGAGAAGTTGGAGAACGAGTTGAGAGAAGTAAATCAGAATGCCGAAGCACTCAAACGCAATTTCCTGGAGCTAACTGAGCTCAAGCACATTCTAAGAAAGACTCAGGTCTTCTTCGATGAGGTGAGTCACTGCCAGTATTCATAAATTTTTACCTTCTTGAATGAAGATAAATTGAGCTTTTCGATTGTTATAAACTGTCAAGGGTGATTTTTACAATTTGTCAAAAAGAGTTAAATGAAAAACAAAACTAATGGAATTGTGAAAAGGGAATGTACAAAAATTTTAATGGGTTTTTCGTCAATTGTTCTGTCCAATTGGAATGTCGTGTGGAATAAACTTTTTATGGATTACATATATAATAGGTTGTAAATATTAATAATTAATAATATTAATAATTCTTAGTTATATATATATATATATATATTGTACAAAATCGACGGACATATAAGAACTTTTTCTCTACAAGAAAAACTATTTTGTCATGAAAGAAGCGCAGTTTTTCTTTTTTTTTTTTATTTTCAAAACATTTATTATTGATTATAAAAACTATTTGTTTTTAATGAATAAAGTGTTACACAAAGAAACAAAAATATTGCAAAGAACTTAATGTTACAACTTACAATTTTGTATTTGTTTGGCTAACATTTCCATAAATTGATTAAACACAATTGTGATAAAGTAGAAATTAGTTGTAACACGCGCTTCGGTATAAAAATCTATTATCACTTTAATGGGACTTCTTGAACTTCCTGTCTCCAAAAATATTTTTAAGTTTCGTCATACAGTATATTTTGTATTTATAAATGAAGTCTTTGTTGCATTTTTATAAAAACAAAAATTCTAAGATATTTGCATGAGGAAATCTCATTGATGTGACAACGTTGCATAAAATTTGTGTATTGGGGAAAAAAATTCATGTAATTAATTATTTAAAAGGGTGCTAGAAAGCTCAAACAAGTCTGTAAGCCGAACAAAATTTCTGAAGCATGACCAAGCTGGAGACTGTGCAAATTAGATAAATATTCGAAAGTTTGTCTTTGCGCTTGTGCAACACTAAATGAGAATGCATTTGAGTTAATTAATTATATATAGGGGAAAAAAAGCTGCAAGATTCAATTATCTGACACAGGCGCATTGATTACTACTCGTAAACATCAGAATGTCTTCCTTGTGTACCACTAATTATTGTTGAGTGATTTTAGGATTATTAATGTGTTAGTGTTGCCAACTAACCAAAAGCCGCAAAGGACACAAGTCACTCGTTCTGCCCTGTCTCCCTTTAAGTCCCTTGAAAGCTGTCCGGTTCCGGTCGCAGTTTTGTATCGATTTTCTATATTCAATTGTAATTAATATTGTTATAGTCGATTTTAGCGTCGAGAGAAACTGTATTGTTAACTTTCGTGCCGTATGTAGCATCAAAGAATTTTTTGAGAGATTGCAATATACAATGTTGTTTCCCTTGCATCGACGATCTCAGCATCTTTGCACACAAACTGAGAACTGTTTTTTGGAGTAGTTTGTAAATGTATCTCTTGAAAAAGTAGTCAGTAAAATAATTGTGTTGAATATGTAATAATTTTAAATACTTCCTCTTAGATGATATATATTTAATAATCTTAATATTTATTAATATTCTGTTTAGTATTTTTTTTTTCATTAAAAACATCTGTCTTCTTTATTTTTTTTTTATTAGAAACATCTCTCTTCTTTATTTTCGTAGTAATCACACCGTTAATTTAGTTTTTTTATTTCTATCTGTTCCTTCCAGTTTACTCCATTAATCAAGAGACGCGGTAGCGTCTCGCGCCAAGTATATTTTAATAACTACACCATAATACCTATATATAATACCTATATAAAGCATAAATTTTTACAAATACAACAAAACAAAATTATCCAAATAAGTCCATCCAGTCCAAAAATTCCAGAATTTTATAACAGAAGACGCTACTGTGTATCATTTACAACGCGGTTATATATTTTACCCATCCAATTATTATACTATTTTTTTTAAAGAAGAACGTGTTTTGGTAAACCAAGTAAACTACTCTTAAAACCTTACATGTTTACATGCATCACCATTTTACTTATCCCTTTATGCATAAACAAAAGAAAGTATATTGTTGTTGGAAAGAAAAACTTTGCACGTTTGTGGGAAAACAAACATGTTTGCATATATATTTACACACATACATACATATACGTGTTGTACATTCAATCAGATATTTGTGAACAATGTTGTTGAAAAATTATATAAATATACAGAATTTTTTTTTATAGTAAATAATTGATACGAGCAGCATAGTGATAATAATAAAATTGAAAATGTATATTACCGTAGGAATATTATATATTTAATAAGAAGCATTAGGTATTGATCTTATTAAAAAAATAACATAAAATTCTCTTAAAATTTATGGAGAAGGTTTTTCTCTAAAAATGAGCTATTTGTAGGCGCGATAAAACAGCATGAAGCCTTGTAATTAATAAAATCGAATTAATGTGCATGGTTTGTACTAATGTCTGCAATATTACTTGATTGTAAAATATATATTGTCTATGTGGAAAACGTTTTATATTCTACGTTAATTCTTTAAAGGCCGATTTTTTACTCACGCTCTTCGTATTTATTTAATACTATTTTAATTTATATTAAAAATATATCTACTGTGCCTAAATATTTAAATCATGGAAAATCTAATGGCCTTTATTGAATTAATAAATGAAATTCTTTGCATGTGGCATGCGTAGAAAAGTAGTGAGATTCTATACGTATGTAAGTGTTTGATTAATTATAAGTAGCACAAAATTGCAGTTTATAATAAATAATATTGTAATATTGACATTAAGTGTAGAATCACGAAAATTACAATTTTTGTGCATGAACGTTACATAGTTTGTGATGCTTATTGACTGCGTGAGCGCGGTATTTTATGTTTGATATTAAATTCATACTTTTTTTGGATCAAATTTAGAAGCTCTATTAAAAGAAAGTGAATTTGTATTTTTTTCGTTTGAAGTTCTCGACTTGTATAGAATAGTTCGTGTTTTTCGACTGTTCGCAAAAATTTGATTTCTACAAAACTCTACATTGTTTTTTTTATGTAAATTAATTGTTTAGAATTGTGATAACATATACATATACACATATGACTAAGCATCACAGACTCAGATTTAATGTTAGACACAGATCAAAATATGTAGCGAACAAAACTACGCGAAATCGAGAAGAGTTCTCTCCTTCTTCTCCTTCTTCTTCGACGTTGGTGAGTTGAAGAGAATTTTGAAACAGAGAGAGAAAGAGAGAGCGAGAGAGAGAGAAAGAGAGAGAAGAAAAGACAGTCTGGTAGCGAGAGCGAGTGGAACGGGAGATAGGGCGAAAGAGGGGTGACATGTGTCTGTTGTCAGGCTGAGCATGGAGGTGTCGTGTCGCAGATGGCAGACCCCAGCCGTGAGGAAGAGCAAGTCACTCTCTTGGGTGAGGAGGGCCTCCGCGCTGGCGGCCAGGCTCTTAAGCTCGGGTAATTAACATGTGGCGTACATCCACATATAATGCAGAGCGCGGCGAATCACAAAGATGTTCTAGAAATTAGAAACGGATACTTTTTCGCAGCTTAACTGAAACATATCCGCTTGAAATTTTGCGGACACATATCATGCGAGTAAAACTAAGTGAATATAATTTCATATAATTATTACATATCTTAACATTTTTTTGTAAAGTCAGTCGTACACTTGAGATTGACACATTTATATTTGGATAGTTATTTCGATAGTTTTTTATTTACTTTATGTATTAGAGAAAATTGGTTTTATATTTTATTATAATAATGCTAAAAAATATTGCATTATTTTTTTTATTTTACTTTATAAATATTTTTATTTAAATTCTAGACTTTTTCACATAGTTTTTAATTTTTCTTCAGATTTGTTTTACTTTATACACAAGAATCTCCACGTTCTGCATTTTCACGATGAATTGAAAATCATTTTAAGTACTTCAGTACGTCGCATGCCTACAGTACGTGTTGCAGATTATCATTAGTCGACCTTTGGATTACTGAGGAACAAGTAAAATAAAAAATTTAACATTGACATTTATAAAAAATGTTCAAAACTATTCCGGCGACAAATTTTACTATTAAAAATAAACATGTATCTGTCGTATTTAAATGGATAATTATTTTTTTATGTATTTAAGTGGATTATTTTATCAGTAATCCGTGGGTTAGAGTAATTCAGGAAATGTGCAGCCAAATAAACTACCGTGAATATTCTTATATGTACTTTGAAACGCGCAGTTTTGTAGTATGTTGCCGTGGAATCAAACATAAACTGAGATAAATAAAACGATAAGTTTCAAGTTAAAAAAAAACTAAAAAATTAAAGATTTGAGGTTTTTAACATCTTTGCTTGAATCTTTAAATGAGAAATATCAAATGTCACGTTGGAAAAATTTGGTCTTGATTCCACGGAACAAAACTGAAAATGTGCTCAGCGCGGAGCTTTCCTATATACAGGGTGTTGAAGAAAAAATCTACTCAAAGGGATTAGTCGCAAGAAAAATCAAATTCTCGAATCGTTATTTTTTTTTTTTTGGTTTCGCTCTGCACCACTTATTTAGAGTAGGCGTAGGGCTAGATACAAATAAATAGTAGAGGCACCCTGTTAGTGTATTCTGTGGTTACAGCACCTGTACACTGCGGCAGACGTAGGAGCACATTATAGGAATCCACTCAGGCAAGCTGTTATCAACCGTTATTTATGGATCTGTTTTGCGAAGCTGTTTTTGCCTCGATGTTGTTGCCTGTGTCTAGCAAAGACCCCATCGCTCAACGAACAGAGCCGCATCCTGCGTTGCTGGAGCATTTTTCGTCACACAAGAGAAAATCTTCTTCCAAACTGACGGCAAAACGGTGAAAATGCAATTCGGTTTACATTGGAAATGCTCCAGAAACGCACTTGAAAAGACAAACGCGACTGTTCGCTTCTATGAATAACCGATGTTTACTTATCGATTGTATTAGTACAAGAAGGCTCTCACTCATTTTCTTGTTGCAAATTACGTGTTCAGAGAAAAAGAAAGAGAAAGAAATCGGCGAAATAGTCGCGCCGACCAATAACAGTTGATACAGTTTGATACGTCACCTGTTTCTTAACATCACTATTTTAAGCAGAGAAAATTCAAACTGTATCGAGTATCTGCCGAACGAAATCGATCGAAGTCCGCTCGCTGTCGAGTTCGATGTTACGCGCGATAAAAAAAAAAGAAAAAAAAAATTGTTGTAATTTTTCATTCTCATCGTAGTTGATGCAAACGTTGTAAATAACAATAAATGATGATGGTGTGGCCATGGGTATGTATAACAAAATTTTCCCTCCTTAACAAAGGATTTGTCTGTCTGTATGTTTATTAAATACGCCGCTTATTCGCATGCTCTCGCACTCCGTTTTATTCTTCGATAATCAACATCAGTGTGAATCATTATTAAAGATTGTTAAAGACGTTTCATTGAGATATTTTTTTTTATCTCTTAATCCAGATCCAAAGACTATTTCAAAAAGTTAGATAAAAAAATACTATTATAAATTATATTGAAAAGGTAAACAAGAGAGAGAAAAATATCAACGAAACTTCTTTAACAATCTAATAGCTTGGCTTGTGTCGTGCTTGATTTAAATAGATTATTGCTATTTCTTTTATTTCACACATCATCTGCCAGTGATGATGTCTTAGTTTGATCGACACTTCTGATCGATTAAAAACTGAATTCCTTGTGAAAACCGAATGTCTGCTCTCGCAGCAGGCGTTGATTCTAAACACGATTCGATAAAGTTGCCTCTTTAAAATTGTCCATAAAATGTGTGTGTTAAAGCTCGATTGACAAAATAATGATAGCTTGTCGATTTTTTTCAGATTTGATAGGAATTGTTTTTGATAAATAGGAATTGCCATGCATATATAGTATTTATTGGGGTAAAAATTTAGGAATTTTTTAATTTGTTAGTGTTATTATAAACACTGTGTGATGTATATAATTTTCTTTTATTTGAGTTGAAAATTATTTTCTCATGATATTTATTTATACCACACCCTTTTTAATGCATTGAATTAAAAGTAAAGAGATACAATTTTTAATAGTCATGTTTGAACACGCGTTTACGTAAAATTGTTCCCCACATGGATGTTTTTAAGTGTAAATTGTATCCACATCGGCACATGTATCTCTCCGCTTCTCTTGTTTAACTATCACTTGACAATCCAGTTAACTTCTATTATCGTTACTGTTTTCACGTTTTGGCAATTCATATTTAGCATACAACTTGACGAACTTGAAATATTTCGGTGCAGAATATTTTGAACGTGCAGAATAATATTAACTTTTATAACTGTTTTTGTTAATTATTTTGCAATTGTAAAAGAAAAAATAGGGAAATTAAATTATAAAGAAAGAATCGCGTAATCAAATAGTCGTTCTTTTTTGCAACATCTCGCGTTATTAAAAAATATTTCAAGTTCATCAAAAAACCAGCAAGAGTAACCAGTGACAAGTCCCTTTATAAATGAGAGACAGAGTGACGAGTTGGAGCATTGTGGTCGTGTCTAGTGTGGCTAATGTGGTTGTGTCTTGTCTGTTGTGTCGTCAGCAAGAGCACGCGGGCTTGAACCCCACCGAGTCCATGACACGTGCGTTGATTAGCGATGATAATATCGCTCGCCAGTCCGCCCTTGGCCCTGTCCAATTGGGGTACGTACTCCCGTTACACTTCCATCCTTATCGTACCAAGTCCCAGGAATCCGAAGAGTTGAATGAGTTTTTCGATTCTGTCTCAAGCTCTACATATACTTAACGATTTAAAAAAAAAAAACTTAATCTATAGATGTAAAAATACGTCAAAGAAATAGAAGAAAACAAAACAATATTTTCAAATTATATACTTCCTACATCTTTTCGAGCAAATTTCATGTATTTGCTGAATTAGTTCAGAGATTATCGAATATTTGAAACTGTACAAATCGATAGTTTGATTTTAACAGTATTCTTTTTCTTATTTTTTATAGAGATTCAATATTTTTGCGACATTTTTTTAGAAATTTGGTTTTCTTTGATATTTTAGAATTTTCAACGCTTTGGATACTTGGAATTTTACCAACCCGGTATTTTAGATCCTAGAATCCTAGTCTTTGTACATTTGATACTTTAGATCCTTAAAATTTCAAGTCTAGAAAACTTTTGAGATCTTTGAATATTAAATCAATTTTATTTATATATATATTCAAATATATTTAGCACACTTGAATGGGATTATTTTTATTCTGAACAACAAAAAATTCAAAATAAAATAATCACATTCAAATGTGAATGTTTTGAATCTTGCTTTTGATTTTAAACTTTTAAGGATTTAAAGATTTTAAGATTTAAGATGCACTATGAACAATATTTAAAAACAATTTCTAAAGGTTTGCCGTGAATTTTAACCGTAATATATAGTAACAGTTATATGAAATCGTTGCATATGAAATCTTAATGTAAGAAACAATTAACGTAAAAAAAAAATTTCTCTATTGACGTAAAAAGAATTTATGGAAAAATACGTGTATACTTTGTAACAATGATTTTAATTATATTTTAACGTCTTTTACATCAGAATTGGCAAATTGGAATTCATCTCTATTACGTTGGTCACGTAACGGAATTTAACAAAAAAATTTCATACGCAACAACTTGTTAAAAATGTATGGCTCCCATGGTATTTAGCATTAGTATGTTCTGATGTTCGAACATACCTCGAGTTTGTTCCCTGTGATACACGTGTACTGTTTGTTGGAGTATGTCGCTCAAAGATCGTCTCAAAGGATCCATAGAATCGTTGACAGAAGTGCTCTGCTGAGGTATGTAGAAAAAAAAAAAGAACAGAATGACCATGGCTACAGAAATCATCATTTCTCAATTGGCTAGCGATTCCACGGGAATGATCTACACGTCAAGTCTCATTGACCGATACAGATTGAAGGCTAATATCGTCGTAACAATTCATCATTTCGATGCTTCACTCGAACCGCAAGAAACAAAACAATCGTGACGAGTTTTACCTGTGCAATTTGCGTTAACGCACACCTGATGGCCGATCTAGACAATCTTAAGTACTTGATTTTCGATTTGTATTAATACGATATCTGTTAACACATTGTTTTTTTGTGTGATCACGCGAGCAGCTTCGTCGCTGGAGTTATCCTGAGAGAACGCATCCCCGCGTTCGAGCGCATGCTGTGGCGTGCGTGCCGCGGAAATGTCTTCCTGCGCCAAGCGGAAATTGAAACTCCTCTGGAGGATCCTTCGACGGTAAGTCTTGTCTTGTTACATTAACGTTCGGAAATTGAGTTGTGATTCAATCGAAGAAAATTGATCCTAACTCGACAATGACGAATGTAGGGGGACCAGGTGTACAAATCGGTCTTCATCATCTTCTTCCAAGGCGACCAGTTGAAGACTCGTGTGAAAAAGATCTGCGAAGGTTTCAGAGCGACTCTGTATCCTTGTCCGGAAGCGCCAGCTGATCGAAGAGAGATGGCAATGGGTGTCATGACACGCATTGAAGATTTGAATACTGTGAGAATATATTTTCATGCTTCATGTACAAAATATATATTGCGAGATAATATTTTTAACATCTATAAACACTTTCTTGTGCGTAAGCTAATAATGAAATAATATTGATCTTATCAGGTCCTAGGACAAACACAGGATCATCGTCATCGCGTTCTAGTGGCTGCCGCGAAGAACATCAAGAACTGGTTCATCAAGGTCCGCAAAATTAAGGCGATCTATCACACTCTTAATCTTTTCAACTTGGACGTAACTCAGAAGTGTCTGATCGCCGAGTGCTGGGTGCCTGTCTTGGACATCGAGATCATCCAATTAGCGTTGAGACGCGGAACGGTAATTAACGAGCGCGAGATTTATTATTTTCATGATTTTCATCTTTCCAGAAGATTAACGTTTGTTCTGTTATTTTTAGGAGCGCAGCGGAAGTTCTGTACCGCCTATCCTGAATCGCATGGAGACGTTCGAAGATCCGCCAACATATAATCGCACAAACAAGTTCACGAAAGGCTTCCAGGCATTAATCGACGCGTACGGAGTCGCCTCTTATCGTGAGATGAATCCTTCGCCCTACACCATCATCACATTCCCGTTTCTGTTTGCAATAATGTTCGGCGACACCGGCCACGGTCTCATAATGTTCTTGTTTGGCGGATGGATGGTACTGAAGGAAAAACCACTGGCAGCTAAGAAAAGCGACAACGAGATCTGGAACATCTTCTTTGGCGGTCGTTATATCATCTTTCTTATGGGTCTGTTTTCAATGTATACGGGTCTTATTTACAACGACATATTCTCAAAGTCGCTCAACATCTTTGGCTCCAACTGGATGGTGAACTACAATCGTAGCACCGTCCAGACAAACAAGGATCTAACGCTGAATCCCAGTTCCATCGACTACATCGATTATCCTTATCCATTTGGCATGGATCCAGTGTGGCAATTGGCCGAGAACAAAATCATCTTTCAAAATTCGTACAAGATGAAAATCTCTATTATTTTCGGCGTGATACACATGCTGTTCGGTGTGATGGTCGGACTGTGGAACCACATGTACTTCAAAAGGCGTCTGAACATCACCTGCGAATTCGTACCGCAAGTGATTTTCCTCATGGCGTTGTTCTTTTACATGGTGATACTCATGTTCGTCAAATGGATTAAATATGGACCGAAGAACGATTTAATCGAAGGTCCTGGCTGCGCGCCCTCAGTACTTATCACTTTTATAAACATGGTTCTCTTCAAGCCCGCTGCGAAAGTCGGCCAGTGCGATCCTTACATGTACGGCGGTCAAAGCGGTTTACAGAAATTCCTGGTAGTCGTGGCTGTGCTTTGTATACCGTGGATGCTGCTGGCGAAGCCAATCTTGACGATGCGCAATCAGAAGAAGCAGCACTATCAGCTTAACAATCACGGCGCCGAAAACGGCGATGTGGAAACTAGTATGGGAGCGTTGCAGCAGAGTGGAGGCGTCGTTCAGAGCGGCGGTGGTCACAAGGACGAGGACGAGAACACAATGGAAATGTTCATTCATCAGGGCATACACACTATTGAATATGTCCTTGGTAGCGTGTCGCATACCGCTTCCTATTTGCGATTGTGGGCGTTGTCTCTCGCTCACGCCCAGCTGTCCGAGGTGCTGTGGAACATGGTGATGAGAAACGGTCTGGCGAGAGAAGGTTGGGACGGCGGCATTGTTCTCTACGCTGTCTTCGCCTTTTGGGCGGTACTCACTGTAGGAATCCTTGTGCTCATGGAAGGTCTTTCGGCATTCCTGCACACGCTTCGGTTGCATTGGTAAAAAATTTCGCTCGCGACAGCTTTCTATAATGTTTTTCAAGTATTTATATTGGACTATTTTATATATATTTTTCATATTTAACTTTCAGGGTGGAGTTCCAAAGCAAGTTCTACGCTGGTTTGGGCTACAGCTTCCAACCGTTCTCTTTCGAAGTCATCCTCGATGCTGCCCAAGCGACTACTGAGGATTAAAATAATTACTCTTTAACTAACAATTCGTCATTATTATTATCTGTATCAATATGAGGATGTGATCAGTCCACCAATCCGCTTGAAACAAGTCAGTTATATAACTAGAAAGATAGAGAACAAAATGTCTCTATAAATAAAAAATTATACTCGTAGATTAAGTTATTGATGGACAAAAATACAAATTATTCCCCCACATCTCTTATGTAGTTTACGCAAACGAGCAGCGCTTTGATCGATAAGATTATAAGATTTATAATGCGAGATGATGACGAGAAAATAAGTCTCGATAAATTTTTTTTTCTCATCTGGTAACATGTAAATAAGATGTATATTGAATATTTGAAACTTTTTTCTTTGAGTGTGTAAAATGTGTGGCAATTATACGTAGATCTCTCTTTTGTCATTATCTAATATTAAAAGTCTCAGCAGTTTTACGAATTGCAGTTGCTGTTTTACGCGATCTATACGAAAGTTCTCGTTACACATTGTAGAGCCTGTAGATCTGGAAACAAATGTATATCGCATAGACGATCGATGTTGTTCAGAATATCGTTATGTAATAAAGAATGTGGCATATGATTGAGGGGCGTGTTTCGTGAAAACTCGGTGATTGCATTATGTTCCGACCCAGCTCGACAAGGCGACTTGTACGCACTTTATCAAAATCGATTTTATTTTGGAAATTTCACTTTTTTTTTCAAATGTTTGTTTTGTATTTTTTTTTTGTTAGCACAAGATGTAGCCTTTTAATCCACCCAGTCTATTTTTCAATATTAAATAAAATTAAACAGCCAATTCATAAGAGTTTGATAAAAATTATCAAAAAATTCTTATTTTGTCGATCTCTCGAAATTAATTCGGAATAGAAATGTTTAAATATCAATCTGTTTAAATGTGTTGGAAGTTTAATTAAAAGTGTTACATAATAGTTTTTTTTTTGTATTCTTTCAATCCTTTCCTTAGATTCTTAGATAAAATACTGAAACACTTGTCATTCTCTTCCTCAATATTGTAATAAAGCATAAATTTTCTTCAAGGTAATTTCCATGTTTCATTGTTCTGAAGAGTAATTCATACCTACTGTTCATCAGCACTATCATTACATTTAGTTGCTTCCAGCTTGGACTCTTCTGGTGGCCCTCCCACCCGACATGATGAGATACATTCTTATCAAGCCGGACTTGGATTGGAGTCGAATACGCACGCGTCGCTCGATCTCAGCTAGTTCTTCGCCGCCTTCGGTCCTCTTTTCCAGCAGTCGCTTATCGACACCCAGGCAGAAGAGTTCTCGCGTCGTTTCCTCGGTTAGTTTTCTTCTCTCTTTATTCGCGTCGAACAGTGTCCTTGAACGCGCCATGGCATCCGTTTGTATCATCGGCTCCGGCAATTGGTGAGTTCGAAAAAGAAACGAATGAATCCGCGTGAAAGTGAAACGACGGTAAAGATATTCTCGAGATTGTCCAAAGCGAGTATATCGACGAGTATGGTGATCGATTTGCACGTGCCTGGCATCGCGCACATGCAGATATTCGCGCATATTTGTTTACCATGCGCGTGCTCGAGTTTATTGTGCGACCGATCACAGTTTAGTCAAGTATTTTTGAACAATATATAAAATTATTTGCACGTACGTGATCGCTTCTGTTCATTTAAATCAAATTTTTTTTTATGATCTGACAATGTAATCATTAATAATTGATTTGCAAGGCATGAAATGCGATTCTTATCGTCACTCGTGCGAGTGTCTTTTAAAATTATGTATTATATGTCGTAACACATATTGCATAATTATTATAATATAATATTAGAAAAACATCATAAATATAATATTAAAAAAACATTTTAAATATAATTTATATTTTATTAAATATATACATTAAGTTATACATGTTATGAAAGTTTAAGAAAATAATTAAAAATTATTTTGTTAAATTAGATTTTTAACTGAAAACTACGTTTCTAAATCAAAACTCGACATTTGTGTGTTTGTTTTACAATAAAAAATATTTTACAATTAATATATTTTACAAGTTGTAAGATATTTTCATATGTTAGTTGTAAAATATTTTGCAACTAATATATATTTTATATATCTTGATGTGCATTTTTACAGGGGTTCGGCTATCGCAAAGATAGTCGGTAAAAATGCCAAGACGCAGAGTAGCTTTGACGATCGCGTTACTATGTATGTTTATGAAGAGATTATCAATGGGAGAAAGCTGACTGAGATTATTAACGAGACCCATGAAAATGTCAAATATCTACCGGGGCATAAACTTCCTGAGAATGTGGTGAGTTAACACAGACGTAACTTCCATTAGACGTCTTAATGGAACATCTAATGGAGTGTATAGAATATTGTTCTGTGTGTGGGCACTTTATCAGTTAATTATGTGTGCGAAAGAGTTTTTCATCTTAGCTTTATATGAGCTATTTTTTTAATACTTTATTAATAGTACTTTTTGTTCGCGCCGCGCGCGAACAAAAGTAAATAAAAGTAAAGAATAATAAAAGTAAAGAAAATTATTTTTTAAATTTACATTTGTTTTTTTATTTAAATAAGTATTTCATATTGTATTCGTAATTTTTGATCAGTTTCAAGTTTTTTACATCGTGCATCCACAGAAATTTAAATTACTCGACTGTTGATCCACGAACTTGCAACGTTGTGATGTCACGACTTTTGTATGTTTTCCTGAAGTCTGACATATATAAAGTTTTTTTAGTTTATCGTTAAGAGTAGTTCTTTTTTTTCTTAACATTAGATTTGTTTTACCACATTGCCACACCTCGAAAAAAAGCGATAAGAAGGGAAGATAAGCGGCTGATCTCTGTATTCAGCAACGTCGCTCGGAACGTCAGCTCCGTTTTTTTTTTTTTTTTGTTTTCAATTACGCTCGTTGCGATATGAATTGGCGATCTCGAACTTTAGTCACCGAACCCTGACCGCGATCAAGGTAGCTGTATTGATTCACACCGCGCGGTGTTTCCGCATCTCGTTCTATTATTCGCGTTTCGTTATCATTCGTGCGTTCTCTCACTTCTTCTGAAATTGTTTATTTTAAAACTCGCACAATCCGTACCATTCAATATGAATTTGATAAAAATGAGCTATTAAGATATACCTTTGCGAGGATTATTTTGTCACGAGGATTGGCTGCAAAGCTGGCTAAGAATAATACGTCTTTATGAAATATATATTTATTCTGTGGGCGAGTACCTGACGTGAGATGCTATTAACGCGTTGTACATCATTCAAAGCATGTATTAAAAAAAGCAATAAAGTAGAGAATCGAATCAACTTAATAACGTCAAAAGGGCGATTGAAAACAAAGATAGAATAAACAATGTAAATTTGAAAATTAAGAATGTCTGAAAGATTATATACAGACGAAAGAGAAACTGTTTTTGCTTTAAAAAATATCTATTAGTTCAACTGGTCATGTGTAAATCTCGCTAATAGTTTACATACGAAACCGGTTTTGTCAACTATGCGCACTTTCGTATATATGACCTACGGTTTTTGAAAATATTTCTTAGTACAAAGGTACAAAGTTCAAAAAAAAGACTAACACGTACAAATTTATAATTAAAGAAACGTCTAAAATCCAAAAGTCGTCTCGGGAATATAAAGTTTTAGAATTTACACATAGTTGCACCTAGAATGCTTTTTTCATCTAGATAGAGTGTCGTTGAGATATCGTTTATGCGCGTGTATGATTGTAGCTTGACTTCTGTAAACTCACATGTACGTGAAAATTACTCGCTGCATTTTCATATAATTTTTCTAGACCGAACGACTTTAACAATAAAGAAGTTACGTCAAGGTTACGTTAGTCTGCGCTCACATGATGATATAATTGTCCTTACTTATCATTGAATGTTCCATTTTAAAACAAAAAACCGATAATCGCGGAAATAGAATTCTCATACCGTGTCGCAAAAGAAAAAACCATTCCTATACAATCGCAGGTTTTACCGGTATAAATAATTCCTTTTGTATCTTTTTCTTTAATTTTAAAAACGCTTTCCAACAAAGAAATAAATTTGTTCAATTTACTCAGAGTGTTTTCTGTCTTGTTTTATTTTTCATTATGATTCAGAGAGTGTGCATTTGTTTTATTTCGAAATAGATTGCTGTTCCCGATGTGGTGGACGCTGCAAAAGACGCGGACATACTCATTTTTGTGGTACCGCATCAATTCATCCGAAGGATATGCAGCACATTGCAGGGGAAGATCAAGCCCACGGCCGTAGGATTGTCATTAATCAAAGTACGCTTCAATTTTTTTTTTTTTTACATCGACACAGGCACGATTTTGTAAATAAAATTATTTATTCGATGACTGTTTAAATATTCTCCGCAGGGTTTCGACAAGAAAGAAGGTGGCGGTATCGAACTTATTTCCCATATAATATCCGAACAATTGCAAATTCCGGTATCCGTCTTGATGGGTGCAAATTTGGCTTCCGAGGTAGCCGACGAGATGTTCTGCGAAACTACAATTGGTAAGAATTAAAATCGGTTTTTTGAATTCTTATTTGATTTATTACTTTTGTTGCAATAATTTAATCGTTGCTTGTCAATAGTGCAAAAGAGTAGTGCGCAACAGCGACAGTAACAAATTTGCAATTCACGTTGTGTAAAAATGCACGATAACATATTTTGTTGATACTAGCACTTCTACGTTCTTGTACAATATATGTATTGTACAATATATGTACAGATTCGATTCGCATATTATGTAATTTGATATGTATTTTTTTTATACTTATGTAATTTGCATTTTGTTTTGCATTTCGCATTGACATTAATAGTTGCCAGTGACAGATAATAGACGATAAGATAAATTGATACGGTTTTTAATCTGAAATTTGTAGGATGTAAAGATAAAGCGATGGCGCCATTACTTCGTGACTTGATTCAAACGTTGTACTTCAGAGTTGTGGTTGTGGAGGATGTGGACTCCGTGGAGTGTTGCGGAGCGTTAAAGGTGACGATTGTTTTTTATCTCATATTGATTCGAAGTAACGATATCTTAACGATATCTGTATTAATGATTTATACAGAACATAGTTGCTTGTGGTGCTGGTTTCGTCGACGGACTGAATCTGGGAGATAACACAAAGGCTGCGGTGATCAGGCTAGGACTGATGGAGATGATAAAGTTTGTCGACGTGTTCTTCCCGGGCGGAAAATTAACGACCTTCTTCGAGAGCTGCGGCGTGGCCGATCTGATCACGACGTGCTACGGTGGACGCAACAGAAAAGTGTCGGAAGCCTTTGTCAAGACTGGCAAGGTCAGTGACACACACAAGATGTCTCGAATTAAATACACTTTACTTTTTGGTAACAAAGCAATAATTGATTTACAGTCGATCGAGACGTTAGAAAAGGAAATGCTGAACGGCCAGAAACTGCAGGGCCCGTTCACCGCCGAAGAAGTCAGCTACATGCTGAAGGCGAAAGGCATGGAGAACAGATTTCCATTGTTCACAGCTATTCACCGAATTTGCGTTGGTGAGCTAAAACCGACGGATTTAATCGACTGTATACGCAGCCATCCGGAACACATGTAAGCTCATAAGTGTCATCATAAAGGTGGTTTATTATTATCAAATTAATTATCATAAAGACAATTATGACCCGCGCAGATTTATATCCCTTGTTACCGAGAATTTACAATAGTTTTAAAAATTTGACGTTTAAAAAATTCAATTTAATAAAATTACACATAATAAATATAAAGTCAAACTACGCAATTTTAAATATTATTTGCATTTGTTTCATAAAGATTCAAGAACTATAATAAATACTAGGTTTAAAATTGAAGAAATTAGAAAAAAACAATTTTGTATCGCGTTGAGCGCGATAAACAAATGAAAAAGAATCGTTATTCTTTACAATATATATGTATATATATATATATTTTATTGACACAGATTTTATTCCACGTTTTAATCGAGTAGATAAATAAGATTTATAGATCTTCCTGATCGGTGATCATTGTACGTGTTATCGACGAAGTAATTTCGGTTATGTGTAACCTGAAAAAGAAAACTTAAATATAATTACTTATTTGTTGGCAAAAAAACAAATTTAGCTTTTTTATTCATCGTTTTCCTGGAATATCAAGAACAAATCTCCTTTCGTTGATCTACAATTAAAATTAATTTTATCCTTTCCTAAAATTGAATTATGATTTTTAAAAAATTACTAAAATACAACTTGAACAACTTAAAGAATTTGCACTAAAAAAAAAAAACAAAAACAAAAACCAAAATGCGGGAAATAAATTCTATTATATCTAAAGTTTATATTTTGGTAGCATTCTGTATGATACTCATTTTTCTGGTTAGCTAATAAACGTTATTTTATCCAGACTGACAATTAATATATTGTCAATTAACATACTGACAATTAACATATGTCAGCCCGAAGGAGTTAATTCGCATTCGCTCCGTATTTAGGGACGAAGACCCTTTGAAGACATCATCGATAACGCCCAAATGCCGCCTTTGAAGATCGCTGATGATCGATCATCGAGAGAAGATTTTGTCGCCATTCAACACGAATAGATTACTCGAGAGCATGATAGTAATTAAGTGATTTCTACTCATATTAGTTATAAGTTTGTCTGGTTTTTTTGTTTATTTTTATGCAAGTGAAACATGTTCGAAATTTTGTTTCACAATATATTATTAAAGTTAAGTAAAAATACACAGAGTATGTTTGTGTTATTTATAGATATGTAATTGCAAAAAGTACTTAGTCAAATAATTAAGTAATTCTGTAAACATTCAAATAAGTTTGCGCGTAAATGCTCAAATTTTTTTTTTTTTTTAAATTTCGAAATATCTGAGTAATATTATATGAAACACAATACATAGACGTACTTAAATATTTGGAATTTACTTATATATCTGTGATAACTTTTAATAAACTCTTTTACACGTCTTGATTACATGTAGTGTAGATTAAAACTATTAATCAAAATTTTGCGGTCTCATTTAATTAATGCAAAAACAAATGGAAGACAAGGTCAAGTTTACATTCATGATCGTATCTCTTTATCACTGTTATCAACGCATTGCTAATTCCGTCGCGACGCTTTTTCGTTGTCAAGGTGTTCGTTCTTTCTTTGGCTTTAATCCAGAGCTTGCGCGTAAGCTGCTAGAAAATAATACACGATCGTTACTAAGGTCAGCAGGCTTCTAAGTCAGTCGGTCAGTCGGACCTCGCGATTGATCGACTGTCGATCGGAACTATCGGTCTCATTTGTCAAGAAAAATATATTCAAGAAGAAGAAACAAGAATGCCGGACGCAAAGAAGAGAGTCTGCATCGTCGGCAGCGGCAATTGGTAATTTTCTTTGTGTCGGAGAATAATTGATTAACAATTGTTTTGTGATCGTTTCTTACTGTTTTTTTTTCTTTTCTTACGGTTCGCTTAATAGAACATGTTTTGTAGAAATGTGAACGTTTATCTAATGTGAGATAAGAACTGTGTGTGTGTGTGTGTGTGTAACTTTTTCAGGTAAGTTTACATAATCATGTGGTTGGATGTTAAATAATCAGTGAAAAGTAGATTCTACAAAAGAGAGAAAAGACAATTGCAATAAGTGTGTTTTATCTGTCGTTTTTATAAGGTTGAACTACTTCTAAAATTAATAACGGTCATGCAATTTTATTTGATCTAGTTTGCATTGACAAGCATGCAATTGTGTACAGCGCTGTCTCTATTGTTCCAAAATTAACTTTTATTGCGTCCTCAGGTGATTTTGATGATACATAACACATGGCATGCGCAGAGAGAACTCCGCGATTATTCAATTAATAAAATTTGAAATTAAAAACCTTAACTTTTTATCATACTTAATACTTATTTGAAATCTTTATGGATTTGAATTCAATTTGTTTATTTATTAAGAAAAAAATTTTTATAAGTTTTTTATCTTAATGTATAATTTTTCAAAACATACTGTAATTTTTGCTGTATACAAAAGTAATAACTTTTTTTTAATATACGACAAATTGTGTTTTAGGGGTTCGGCAATTGCAAAGATCGTCGGTGCAAACGTCACGAAGTTTAACAATATATTTGAGACTCGGGTGACAATGTACGTGTACGAGGAAATCATTAACAATGAAAAACTGACTAATATAATCAATACCCTCCACGAGAATGTCAAATACCTGCCTGGACACAAACTTCCAGAAAATGTGGCAAGTATTATCTCGAATGCACATTAACCGATTGAATCTTTAGCGAAATTAGTCGGTAAATTAGCAGCTGAACAAAACAGGACACAATTAAAATAACAAGGAAACACTTTTTATTTAACATTTTTACTACAGTATATAATTGCTGAGTTATCTGCTTTTTATTTAAAAAAATCTTATCGATATAATTGTATTAGAAAAATTTAATGGATACAACTTCTTTTTGAGTTTACACATTGCGCTAATAAACAAAAGTTACTCAAAAGATCAGAAAATAAGCGTGAGTATTTGCAAAGTGTTTAAAAGTAGAGAGAAGATTCTGGTTCAATAGTTAGTGGTTGTGCGAACGTAAACTTTTCCGGAAGGCATGGATACGCGATCAACACCTCCTGGGAAGAGTTTCGGGAGATCCTCTTCTTTAACTGTCGGCAGGATCATTACTTTTTCACCAGGCTGTAATTAATATTATTGTGTCATTATATTTTGACATCATAAATCAGATATAAAAGGAGTTGAACGAAAAAAAGAAACAAAATGAGACTTACCACCCAGTTAGCGGGAGTTGCTATTTCTGGTATTCTGTCCACAAGCTGCAGCGAATCGATCACACGCAATATTTCGCTACAAAAATGCAATTAATGTTATTTAATAAAAAGCAAATTATTAGACGCAAAGTATTAGAAAAGCTGAGTGATTCTTACTCGACGTTGCGTCCGGTAGAAACCGGATATTGCATGGAAAGTCGCAAGCGATGATCCGGACTGATGATGTACAACGCGCGAACCGTCAGAGCGGTTTCTGGATCGTCTTTGCTCTGCTCGTCGATCATGTCCAGTTGCACGGCAAGCTTGCGGTCATGATCGGCGATTATGGGATACGGAAAAGATCCGGGAATATCTTGGCAGTACGACTTAATGTCCTGCACAATAAAAGAAAAATTAAAAATCAGAAAATAACTAATAATAAAAAATCACTTACATTGACCCAGTCTACGTGATCTTGTAGTTTGTCAACGGAATGAGCCAACAATTTGGTGTTGCGCTTTGTGAAGTGCGGCTGATGCACGGCAATGCGACCCAACTCGGTGGTGCACACGGGAGTGAAATCCGCAGGATGGGAAAATATAACTACCCATCTTCAAAAAAAAAAATAAAAATAATCGTTATATAACAAATCAAGAACATATAAAAACTGGTTTTAAAGCGCAGTATTTAAAAAATAAATAAAATATGTATGAAATATATAATAAAAATATAAGATATGAAATATATAATTCGCTAATATAATTATATAAAATATAATATGTATATTTAAAAAATACTAGATTAAGTAAATTTGATATAATATTATGTTATAATATTATTTTGGATATTATAATATCATTATCAAATATTTACACATACACAGCTTTTGTAAAAACAAAAAAAGAATTTTATTTTAATAATTTCAAGTGTGACGCGATAGAATGTATATCAGCACCAATGTAACCACTTGTTACGATACTTATTGAAGTTACAATGACATAATCGGTCGCGATTACCCTGACTTGAAAGAGCTCGACTTTCAAGTGCGAACACTTATTATAGACGGAGTCCTCGTTTTGGCTTTATACCAAGGGTAAACTTCGTTGTTGCAATATCTACTTATTTCAGCTCACGGCCACCCTTTGACTTTTCAATGTCAATCACCGAACCATCAGTTCGTTTTCAAACGTTGCTCTTGTCAGTAACAAAAAACCATTACATATATAAATTAAAAAAGTTTACATGTACTTCTTTAATTTTTACATATACACTTTTTGATGTGTTCAATCGTTTTTACTTAATTAATTTAAAATTAATACGTATGTAATTATCGTGTGTGCGTATGCTACGAAATTGCGTGGACACACAGCTTGTTATCTACAATAAACTTGTCACTCAGCGATGTTTGCTACGGATGAGAGGATCTATTTTTGGACATATGCACGTTGTTGTATCTTATTACAAGTGCAAATTGAATCAAATGTAAATTCAAGCTGTTTACGCGGCGAGCCGCGAACAAGATGTTTTTTTTTATTATTCTTTTCTGGACGTGATGATGCGGATAGAAAATTATTGCAAAACACAAAAGAGATAGATTTTGTTATGCAACTTGTTATGTACTTGTAGTCGGAAAAAAAAAACAGTTCTTCATACATGGATAAATTTGATTTCTAATTATAATTAATGTATAATTTTACTTTTTAATTTTAATTTTTTGTAATCATATATAAGAAATCGTCTCGATTTCGCGTACGATTATATACTTATTTATGTAACCAGCTATCGGAGTTGTGTGAAGGATTTTTTTCCGAGTAAACAAGATAAATTATATCTCTTTTTGATAATTTATCTTTTACGTTTATCTGTTATGTAATACATATTATAAATTTGGCGTGTTCATACATATAAATTTTGCTTTCTTGAACATGTTTAGTTCTATATTTATGGAATTATATGTTTCAATAAATTAAACTCTCTATACACAAAAATAAGCGCAACAAACTGATAAAAATAAACGCTTTTTTTTACGTAACATTGTTTTTAATGCGCATACATTAAATAATTGTTTCATTTAAAATGTTTCATTTAAAATTGTTTCATTAAAAAAATTAGATATGAAGTAAAATATCTTGATAATTTCGTATACAAATATAAACGACTTACGAGTTGCCTTGCCATTCGTAGAAATCTATAGGACCTTGCGTAGTTTCGGCCTTAAAATTCGGTATAATGCTGTTGAGCCTCATTGTTGCTCTTGGATTTCAACAACGATCGTGCGAACAAACAGACTATCTCTGTAGAATGCTCGAGGAGAACTAATGATCCGAGAAAGCAGATCGAGCAAATTACCTTGCTTGTCAGCTCGTCAGCGCGATTTATATATGCGGCGTCCTACATCGCTTTTACAGTGTGACGCAAATATCGTTAGATATCGTTGTATCGGTTTTTTTTACCGGACAAGTTATCAGACAGCAAGATAAATGATGTATGTGATATCAATAGTGATGAAACTGATTTCCACGATGGCAAAGCAAAAAATTGATTTTTATCAAAAATGTTTAAAAACATTTATTATTACATGTTGTGATGTGAAATAAAAGTGGAGTTTTTGTCATGTGTTTTATTTTTTCCAGGTTGCCGTGCCTGACGTCGTGGAGGCTGCCAAAGATGCCGACATTCTCATTTTCGTCTTGCCGCATCAGTTTATTCGCACGTTGTGCTCGGCATTGCTCGATAACATAAAACCAACTGCAGTCGGTCTTTCTCTCATAAAAGTATGTTTCACAAAACTGTTTTTCCTTTTATTTTGTGTTTACAATTAATATGATTCGTGGAATTCAATTAAAAATATATATTATATATCAAAGGGTTTCGGTCGGGGCGAAGGAAACAGCATTGAGTTAATCTCCAAGATCATCGAGAAAAATCTGAGAATACAATGTAACGTTCTAATGGGCGCCAATCTCGCTAATGAGGTTGCTGAAGAGAAATTCTGCGAAACCACAATTGGTAGTCTTTTATTCTTCTTCTCTCTCTTCTTTTCTCAGCGAAGCTGTGAGAATTGTTCAAATCAGAAATAAAATTGCAGGATGCAAGGACAAACGATTGGCGCCAGTGCTGAGGGATCTCATTCAGACTTCAAACTTTCGAGTTGTCGTCGTAGAAGATTGCGAGACCGTTGAAGTTTGTGGAGCGCTCAAGGTAAGTATAAATAAATCAACGACACTTGTGTACAAAAATGTGTCATATTTCGTAAACGAATGTTTTTGTTCACAGAATGTCGTAGCGTGCGCAGCCGGTTTCGTTGACGGACTTGGATTGGGCGACAACACGAAGGCGGCGGTGATCCGATTAGGATTGATGGAGATGGTCAAATTCGTCGATACCTTTTACAGCGGTTCTAAACTTTCCACATTCTTCGAGAGCTGTGGCGTGGCGGATCTGATCACCACTTGCTACGGAGGCAGAAATCGCAGAGTTTGCGAGCAATTTGTCAAAACTGGCAAGGTGACAAAAAAATATTGAAAATCGAAAAACTTAATAAGTGTATAAATTTGTCAATTAACAATAATAATATAACAGACCATTAAAGCGCTGGAGGACGAGCTGTTGAGCGGACAGAAGCTACAGGGACCAGCAACAGCGGATGAGGTCCATGACATGCTGAAAGCGCGTAACCTGACGGACAAGTTTCCTCTGTTCACTGCGGTGCATCGCATCTGCACAGATCAGTTGCGACCAGCGGATTTGATCGACCAGATACGCAGTCATCCCGAACATGTGTAAGACTTCTGTATTTTTGTCATTTTAGTTGTTTATAATGAAAGGTCACTTGCACATTTTGAATTTCCCTTCCTCAGGTTTGCTCCAAAAACTCTTTTTATGTACTGAATTCCTTCCTCGCCAGTAGAAAAAATTCCTCCACCTAATTTTCCTTCAATGAAATCTCTCGTTTCTCAATCCTTACTTCTTGTATACGTGAATAATTATACAAGATCTATATAATTAAGGTGAGACATATATAAATATCAAATATTAGAATATCAAAAGAGCTTTACATGTGTAACAAACATCTAAAAATAATTTGTGCATGTTTCAGGATGAAGTTAGAGCAGGAAAGTACAGCATAATCATCATGTAAGATATGTGAATTGAATTTTTAAATTGGAAAAATTCAATCCAAATATCTGAAACAATTTAGGCAAAAGAGCTTGTACATATTCTAAACATCCAATGTAATTTTAATGCTGTAAATAAAGGTTAACTTATTTATGGATTAAAATCAAATTGTTTTTTTTTTAATTAAACCCAATAAATTTGTGAGTTTTTATTTTTGCATGTTTAAATATAGAGCTACCTACAATAGTGTATATTTACAAATATTACAGTAAACTATTTAAATACATCAACATTTACAATTTATGTGACAAATTGTTTTCAATTAAATTTAATTTTATTCTTCAATATCATTGTTCGGTATCCTTACAACACCTCACTTGATTTTTATCTTTTTTGATATTTTTCTGATCTTTGCTTGGCACATTATCTACTAAGACATCTGAAGTAATGTTCAGTGCTGGAAAACAATCATTATTTGAATATTTAATCATATTATTCTATTTTAATATTTTTTATTTTGTAATTATATTATTACTTAATCTTCCAGGTGCTGTTTCAACAGCTTGGATAATAGTTGTTCTCATCTCTTGTTCAACTTCCTGTGCAAATTTATTCAACTAAAACAAATTCAACAATAACAATACACAGATTGTCATAGTCAATTTTTTTATAAATTTTAGTGTCTTAAGATTAACTGTTGTAGACCGTAGTTATAGACTTTATTTTATATACCTCTTCAATAGCAGCTTGATTTTTGACATTTTTGTACTTCCTATATTCTTCATTTATCTTACTTCTCACAACTAGAAAGCAACAAAAGACTATTATTTATTAAGACTGTTATAATGAATACTCTCTTACAACAAATACTTTTTGTTTTACTAAAGTGTATTACCTTGCAATGCATGTTCGTCGCCTTCAAATTTCTTTAATCTTGTTCTATGGAGTTTCTTAAACACTTGCAAGACCTAATAACATCATCATAAAAATAAATAAAATTTATTTTTGTATACACGCTGTTCACATTACTTATATTCTTTTTTATTGCTGATTAACACAAAAAAAAAACACAATACAACAAACGTTGCGCCGGTCTAAACGAAAGAAATTATTAACCTCTCGTCGAAGAAATTCGTTCATTTTAGCGAAATTCACGATTAATATGTCACAAAAATTATTTGTTCGTACTTATTGAAATGTGCGCTGCAAACAAAATTATTGCACAAGTGCGAGCGCACAAATCATCACAAAATCATTTTTAGCTCAACGATATACTCAAAGGAAAATATAATCAGAGAGAAGACTGAGAGCGGCCACGGCCATAAGAGAATGTGTAATCACTGTAATCGCTTTTCGCGGACATGGTTCTATTCCGTGCTATATTTGTAGATATGGTTCTTATCCGTGCTAACACCGACGTGGTGAGGATACAAGCGAAAACTGCCGTCCGTGTGCGCTCGTGGAAGCTGCAAACCACAGATTATATATATATATAGTACACGTCACGTATAGTATAGATAAATGCGTGAAACGGAACACAGCTTAGGTCAGCATTCTTTTAAATGTAAGCTGTGTTAAAATTCATGCCGGTCTGTGATTGGATACTTTGCTTAAATAATACAGCGAGTTGACCAATCACAATTAATGAGACCGGTAATATGAGCTGTCACATACGTGTCACGTCATTGGTCAGTGCTACGATAAAGATGTCATTGCCAGTGGTTGCCAGCGACGATATCAGGCGATACAGCTAGAGACGATAACGATAACCAGCGGTAACCCTACTACGCGAGTTCTCGTGTCCGAAGTCGCAAGTGCACGTTTGATTGAGAAAAAACTCACGCGACATGTAAACCATGTAATTGGATCTGTTGTTCGATATCCGTGCATTTTTTTTTTGCCTTAATGCATTCGTGCGCCCGCGCGTGGAAATTACGCCACAAACCTGTGTGATGATACCCGTCACGGCGGTGACGGCGAGCTGGTCAAAATCGGTGCAGAGATTCAGCCGCGAGATCAGCAAAATCCTGATTTATTGACAAAGGCAGGAAACGTCGAACAATGACGGAAAGCCTGATAACCGAGTGGCTAGCGGATTGCAAAGATGTGCCTCCGTCAGATCTGCACACGTTTGCCAGCACGCTCTCTCAGGACAACGAGATCGTGCGAGCGCTTTATGTGCTTTTAGAAGAGCGCACTAAATATAGCGAGGTATATAGCACGGAATATCCGTTTAATTGAATTAAATATCTTTGCGCGGAATCATGTGTGTGTGTTGTTACACACTGATAGATTTTTTTTCTTTCACACAATCGCTATCTTTCCTCTCACGCGTCAAACCATTTCTCATCGCTACTTTCGTGATCAGAAATGCGTCACGTACTGTGTATTTACATAGAAATGTCATCACGGTTTATTCATGCATAAAACATATGTATAAATGAACATCTATATACGAGGAGTGTCATTGCAAAATCAGCAAATTCCACTTGTGTGATTTTGGAAATTAATGAAAACCTGTTACGACTATTCATTCTGTGACTACAGTGATTATCTATTTTTAAACGTTAATTTAAATAAGATTCTGCTGCTTTAAACGCATATATTAACCACAGTATAGATTAGATAGTAAACTAGAATATATATAACTTAAAAAAATTATAAAAAGTGAAGATTGTGCTGTGATTTTGCATGACATCTTTCATATGTAGTTATCTATAATTAGTATCTATATATTTGCAGTTAATTATTTTGTTACTTATAAACATATGTGTAAGAAAACTTATGTTATAACAATATATTTATATTGAAAAATATGTGATATTTTTATACATATATATAATGCACACATAAAGATTTATATGTAAAACCACTGATATCAATTTAATGGCTTTGTTACAGTTGATGGACACAGTATGCAATCAATTATATAATTTTTATCGATCTCGAGAAATAGAACTGCAAAGATTTACTCTACAATTTCTACCTACTCTGATATATATTTATCTAAATTCTGCTGCACATGGTGACATTAAGGTAAGATAAAATTATAAATGTCATACAAACAATGATAAATATCCCATCAGTTTGTCAACAATATGTCATTTGTCTATCATTTTTATGTGATATCATGGTATATAATTGATATTTAAGTAAAGTTATATAACAAGGAAGATAAAAATAACCTACTTACATGGCAAAAATGACAAACTACTATATCATGTTGATTATCTCTGTCTGCACAAGTTGAATTATTTTCATTTAGTTTAATATTCTTAGCACAATAAAGATTCTATTGTTTACACATTACATTCTTATTGATAATTGATGTTTAATTTTCAACAGAGTTGTCGTTCTCTTGAGACTCTGTTAATTGGATTATATAATCTAGAAGTGGTGGATAAATCAGGACAACAAAAAGCAATCTCATTTAGATTACCTTCTTTGGCTATGTTATCCTCATATCATGAGGTATGTTGTCACATATAGAATATCTATTTGCAAAAATACTATACTATTGCTAGAATTTTCTTTATTTTGTTATTTTCAGTTCTTTATGTAATAATATGATATGTATTTGTTTAAATAGCCTGCAAGTCTAGCACCAGCTTCATTAACAGAAAGCGCGGTGCGTCGATTTGAAGAATGCAACACAAAACTTGTGAGCTGGGGTCCCTTGCAGCAAGTTGAAACACTGAATGCACAAAATAGATTAAAAGTTATGACAGCACTGCTATTTATTTATAATCAACAAATTGGATATATAAATAAATTTGCTTTAGAACAGTTATGCAAAGTTGCAACAAAGTAAGTTTAATGTGACGAGTTTTGAAATATTAATGACGAGTTTTGAAATATTAATATTTGCGGTTGCAATTAAATCTTATTTTTACTGCAGACTTGTTACTCAAGGGTTTATGAAACCAGGACATCATCAACGTTCTTCCTACGGCAGTGAATCTAGTTTTGTTCCAAGACTTTTACCACGTATACCAGTAACTGGTCCATTCCTCTTGGAATTCTTAAATGCTATATATTTTGCCATGTATGTATACATTTTATGTTGTGATTTTGACTTTATATGCGTATTGTTTATATTTTTTAATATTACGTATCAGGATTATCAGATAATCAGTAATTTAATGTATTATCATTGGATTGTTATATTTTTAATTAAAATTATTTGAAATGTTTTTGTTTATAGGTATAATGATTGTTGGTATATAGCAAATCAAGCTGTAGAAGATATTCATAACAGAGCCTGTTATGAAGCATATCCCAATGTAATGTTAGTTACCAATGCTATACGCAACTCTGCGAGTACTGGAGCACCAGGTAATTACATTTACAATAGGATTTCATTGAACTCAAGTCAGTTGCTTGTGTATAATATAAAACTAATAATATTTTGTTTTTTATTCTATAGGTCAGCAAAACGATGGACCAATGGGAATTAGCGTTGCATTGTCTCCAGCAACTACTACACCAACCATTTCAAAGTCTATGATCACAAATGCTTCCTTCCGTACTAAGAAACTACCAGGTATGTTTTTATATTTTGTATATATCTACTATAAAATAAAAATTTTCTTACGAAGATATGTACTAACATGTAAGGTTAGAGAACAACCTGTTGAAGATCACAGATTGTAAATGTTTTTAAAAGCTTTGAGAAAATATACACACATTTTTTAATATTAATTATCGTAAATATTAATTTACAAGAAAATTTTATATACAAAATATTTAAATATATTCTATTTTTTATAAATTTCTTAGTAACTAAAAAAGTTTTCTATGTCTCATATAATGCTATGAGATCATGCTTAAAAGTTTATAATTGAAAATTAATAATGTTTATCTAAACTTGTACATTAATTACTATTGTTGATGAATAAAGGTGCTAGAGTAGTATTAACACATCATAGCTGGTCATTAAAATAGCTAACACGCAATAAAATCTTAACTCTGTTTGAATATTAGCTAAATTACACTCCCAACATATATAACATACAAATAACATACACGAACGGATATGCATGGATTGGATGTGTCGAGTACTTTTAGGCCCAAGCTTGCATGTGACATTCCTCTGAGTTTTATGAAATTGCTGAATTGATAATGTTTTTTTTGTCCTATGAATGAATAGTTGTCCAAACAAACAGATATTGATACAAAACTGCACACGTTTATTGGCAAAATATACAAAGTACTATTTACGTTTCTTTTCATCTATATTGTTTAGTTTCCTCGATATAACTTGTAGATATAGAATGAAGCGTTTGCTGCACAAATTTGTGTTATCTTTTAAGATATATGTATTTTATATATAAATATACATATGTAATAAGTTAAAAGTTACAAAGTCCAACAAATGTGGATTGCGCGTCTATGTCATTAGACGATCTGGATGAGAAGTTATTTGCGGTCGAATTGAGCAATTGTCAAGTCGAGAAGCAGCAACAACCGGCGGTATCCGGCAGCAGCAAACGTCGTCCATGGCATTGGAAGCATACACTTCCAAATTCAGATAGGAGGGATACGAGTGTGGGAAGAGCACAATCTTCCTCCTCGTTGGAAAGTTCTAGACGTGGAAGTATATGCAGCAGCAGCCAAAGCTCGCCGATAAAGTCTTCTCCTAAAAAGAGCAAAGATCATCAGTTAAAGAAAATAACTGCGGATAATAAGGATGATATCAGTCAGAAAGGTCGAAAAGACAGTAGCGTAAAGTGCGATTCTACTTACCCCGACGATAGATTGGCAGCTAACGCGCATCTGTATAGTATGTTAGAGGAACAAGCTCTGGGAGAAATTATTCGTGAATCAGTGGACAATGTATATACTGAAGACAAGAATAAATCAATCAATTTTTGCGCCACTACTGCATTATCATCAAACATATGGTATTATTACTTCAGTTACAGCACTCTAGGATGGCGTCAAAATATATCTCATCACGCTATAACTCTACATCTCAATCGCGTACAATATCTTTGTGTTTGTTCATTTGATATGACACATTTAGCACATACAAAATGAATTCTTGCGATTCATGTGCGTGGATGTTGTGTTCCTTTCTTTCAGAAATACCACTCTCAGCTATAACAAGCCATATACATAAAACAAAATCTAAACAGAAACCAGCACATGACTGGGCAGTATGCATGTCAACACGGCACATTTATCTACTTGCACCAAAACTTTCAAGTATATTGCTTAATTAGAAAATGTACTTGATGTTCCTTGTCCACTAACTGTAACTTTATCTGTTTAATGTGTATTTGTGTTTTTATTTTAAATATTATATTTTTTACATGCAATTTCTTGTCTTGTATTGTTCAGCACATTATATACACATAGTGTCTAGTGGTACACACATAAAATATGTATCTTATATGTAATATACTTAATGTTTTTTTTCTTTCTAAAGAATTTCAAGACTTAGGATCGAAGAACAGACTTTTGCATAATGCATAACGTATAAGGCGTGAGAGAATCAGAACCAATCCAGTTTTCCATTTTTATCCCCACTTCTTGTTCTAAAAGGATTGGTTGATTTTCTTATGTCTTATGCGTTATGCATTATGCAAAAGTCTGTGCTTCGGCTTTTATTTTATAATTTACTCGTAAAAAATACAATAAAAACAGAAAAGTTAAATTTGACTACAAAGTTCGCAAATTATTTTAAGAGAATACATACACAACGCAATCGATATTAACGCTATTTGAATGTTTGATCGTATTAGTTTCTAGTCTATGCAAACAAAAATATGATACATATAATACATCTTAAAAACATGTAATTTAAATAAATTATGAAGTAAATTATGGCTATATGAACGTTTCTCTGTCTCTATATATATCTCTCTAATATGCTTGTTATGTTCAATATTATTTTTATTATTGTCATGTCTAATTTTATAGCAAATCTGTTTTATAATAGAGAAAACAATATCGTTAAAAAAATTGTTTTTTGTCTCCAGATGACATACCAGTTGTAAAAGATGAATCTACTGGAGAGGGTAAAGGTAATTTGGTATCAATAACGGAGGAAAATCAAGACTCAACCGAACCGAGCCGCGTTGGTTCCGTGAGACAATCGAAGGATCAAAAGACTGCTTCGAAGATTACGAACTTTCCTGTACTCGGGAAGAAACCTAAAGAGAAAGAGGGGAAAGTAACGAAGAATGTTCACGTCGCGTTGTCTGAGAAGGAGAAGAAACTTGGTTCTCAAACCACATCGAAAGACAACATCAAAGGTAGTTTATCAATGTTGAATAATGAACAACAACAAGTAGAAGTTGAAGGAAATGTTAACGGATGTGCGATACGAAAGAAGAATAATAGCATAGAAAATAATGCAATTATAATAGATTCAAATGCATTAATTGACAATGAGAGACTGGCGCTAAATAACGAAAATACTGATGGTAATAACATAGAAAATTCTCTTAATTTAAGAGCGCATAACGAAACAGAGTCAATGAGTTCTTCTATTCAAGTAAGCTCTGTTTAATATTACAAGAACAAAAAAAAAACTTGAAAATAACAAAATGTTATATATAAATAGTAATGGGCTGAACACATTACGCGAGCGAGTAAGATCGTTCTCTTCCATCTAGCAAGTTGTCTTGTCAAACCCATGTTGCCTTTTCCTAAAGCTATTTAAGATCACACACACTATTTTCCCAACAAACATGTATATTATCAATGCATTGCAACATTTAAAAATTAGAAATGTATATTTTTCTTGACACGCATGTAGCAATTTTAGTCGATAGTTCATTACTCTATTGATCTCCAAGGTTACCGTAACAATAGGAGAGGGAACAATATAAACTAAAGGCACACGGTTGTTTTGTTAAATATTCTGTGCACACACATATTGGTGACTCATTTTTGTAATTAAATTTATAATTTATTCGATATATTTTATAAATATATGTCGATATATATGTATATATATGTATACTATATATATATAATCGTAATTTCTTTATTCGAACGGTTATTGAAACTTCTCACAACACTTCTAGAAATTATAAATATCATAATATCGAAGAAACAAGTATTATCACACAATGCAATATATATTACTGTAATAATTTGTTTAACCCAGATGCGCCATGATGTATACTTGCAGCCTTTTTCTCTATCTTCTTAGATAAACGGTGCATGTCTAAATATATCTGTTACTACGACTGCTAAAAACGCAGCACAAAATGATAATGATTAGAGAAAGAGACAGAGAGAGAGAGAGAGAGGAAAGAGAAGAGAAGGCCTCAAGATAACACTGCAGTGTCATTTATCTGTAAACTGGATAGATCTATTATAGTTGTAAAATATATTAGGCATGTCTGGGTTGAATAATAAAAAAACTTGATATTAATTTTGTCATGATTGTTCTAATATGATATTAAGAATTCCATGACAAATTATCTGAATTTGCAAATAGTTATAAAACAAAACATTGGTATATATATATATGTATAAAATATATGTGATTGTTGAAAATGATTATGATATATTCAACCACAGAGAGTTTATTCTCGCGTGTATGAAAGTTGATTCACGTTGAAAATAGTCAACTAGTTAGAGAAATGTGCCGCTTGTGCATGAAAAGATGGGAATATGATAATAAATATAAGTTTTTGAATACAATATTTTTCCTTATAAACTATGTGAACTTCGATCTAGCATTTTATTAGTCAGAGAGTTCCAAGATTTTACACCAGAAATAAAAAAGTATTTAGAAAACAAATTCTAAAGGAATTAAAATATCATTCGTGTAAATTAATGTATAAGTGTAAGAAATCATTATCTTTAAAAATTTGAATATTTAACTTTATATGTCTTTGCGCACTTGTTTGAAAATATAGATACAGTATACATTTTTTAAGAAAAAAAATGCGCAAAACAAATTTGATACTTTTACTGCGTTCAGTACTTGTCTTTTTAATATTTCGATTAAAAGTCGAAATCATTAAAGAATACTGTGATCAATTCCCACTTTTTTATGCTCTGAGTGTAGAATTGTACTAATTTATTAATTATATATATATATATATATGTATGCGTGTGCGTGTGCGTGTGTGTGCGCGCGCGTATGTCGTGTGTATTATATAAAAACTAATTGTATAGAAAGAGAAAAGAGAAAGTTTGACTTAAAAAAAAAAAACCATATTGCATCGTGAACTGCATTTGTTAAACTAGGATAACTATTTCGAACTGTGAAACAATGTGTATATATCATAGGGGTGGGGACAAACCGGAGTCAAGAATGCTTGTTCCAGAATTGAATTATACCTTATGGCCTATATTGTATTATTTAAAGTGTAACATGAAATGTAAAAACACAGTAAAGTTAATCAGAAGAGAGTTATAATAACAAAAAAAAAAAAAGAAAAGTAACCATAAACGCCATTACTTTATTTATGATCCTTCACACAATTTTTAATATATTTGATGTAACTGGAAAAATTTTATCACACACGTTACTGACATATCTTATTAATAATAATTTTATGCAGAAATATAATGCAAGTTACTTTTCCACACACGTTTACTTTGTATCGTTTAAATAAAAGTATTTTAAAAATATTTACCGAAGTTTTTTTTAAACAATAATTTAGTCGTGTATTATTTAACTAATATATTTATGTGTATACTACTTTAACAATACTACATACTACGTTAACACGCTATAAAATGCTTGGTTCTCGTTATATTTGTGAGTTTTTCAATTTTTTAATTTTTAAATTAATTTTTAAATTGCTTTTTACTGTTTCCGTAAAAAGTTGAATTTTTAACTTATGTAAATATATGTGATATGCGAATAATTCAAGCCGCACTCTTAAACGATCGATAGTGACTGTCGACGATAAATATTACTCCTGAAGTGCTTTTTAGAATACGAAGTGATATCCACGATTCGGGCCAGTTATCAATTTTACAGATTCATGACTGCAAATCCTCGATTTGATCACGAAAAGGAAATAAGTAGCTCTCTGTTACATGGCAGCTAAGAAAGACAAACGGACGGATTATCTCGCGCTATATTTCTTCATAATTCTGTTCACATAAGTGCTGGTCTTTGTCGAAAGAATTTCTTTCTTACTGCCATTTGAAAAATGTAGTCTATAGGAATCAAAAGAATTGCAAAAAAGTAAAATTTTTGTATACGGATTCTAGAAGATAATCTCTGAGCTAATTCAAGGGTTTAAGAATTATGAGAATTGATAAGAATGTTATATTCTTATCAATAGTGTGTGTGTGTGTGTATATATATATGTATATACATATATGTATATGTACGGGAAAAAATGATATTAAATCAACAGCATCAGTTTAATTGGAATTGATAAGAATGTTATATTCTTATCAATCTGTCACAAGAATGTTCTCGATGAAATAAAATTCTCTCGGGTTTTTGAAGTAATCTTCAGAGACTTAAAGTTTTTCTCTCTTCGCAATCCTATTCTAATATTATTGGTTTTTAATTGCTGTTGACTTTTGCAATTGCTGCGATTACTGCGTTCGATATTGCAAACCGGAAGCATGTTCTTTTAACTCGAAAATTTGTTTGAATATTCGTTCAATGGCCAATTTCGATTGGCTATTTCAGCTTTATTTGCGTTCGGTTTCACATCTCCGATGTCTTCGATTTACAATACCGAACGCGGTTAGTTTGTGATGATATAGTCTTCAACTCTACTGTTTTCTCTAGTCTTCGAATTGTCCTCGTTTTTTTTTTTTTTTATGTTTATCTCATTTTTCAATGATCGCATTTTCGTCGTTTTCTGCAATTCGTTTTGCTCCAAAAAATTGAATCATCTTGACGATGATACGCTCGAATACGTCGACTACTACATGACACAATTAATACGCGGAACTGACCGTGACGTCTATCAATTATTATCTGGGGACGACAATTAATATCCCAGAAATTTCGGTCACATCGGGAATAGATTATTAACAGATGATACAGTTATATCGCGTGACGAATCGAAACCAATATCATGCTACAGAAAACACTTAACAACAGTATTCGGCAGACCATCTTCCTGATGGTTTTGTTTGGAATGTGCAGAACAATACGCGCTCTCTCGTCAATAGATGACTTAAATTTTTTTTTGTGTATTTCCGGTTTTTATTTTTTGGAAGAGAAGTCTGTGAGAAAGCAATGTTTTTTTCAATTTGCACACGTCGTTGCGATGATGGTTTCTTTAAACGGAAATGTTCCGCATCTTTTCATTTGTGACAAATCGAAAGTATTTCGTTGTGTAATATCTATTGACATGTAATAAGACGTTACTTCTTGGAACAAAGGCTTTGTATATCTATGTGTGTGTGTGTGTGTGTGTGTGTGTGTGTGTGTGTGTGTGTGTATACATATATGTATATGTACGGGAAAAAATGATATTAAATCAACAGCATCAGTTTAATTAAAATATATTCTGTTGATGCAACATCAATATTATTGAGCTATACATACAACAAATAATTGTGTGTGCTTTAAGAATCTAAACATTAAATTAATCTCATATGCAATCAAAACTATTAAAATAAAACTATTTATTTTTGCTCGTGATGTCGATTTTAAATTGTAGAAACTCCATGTTTTCCATTTTCATCTTTATTTTTGAAGTAAATATACTTATCTTTTATAACAAAACACTTCTCTTTATATAAGAAAACAAATTGGTATAATACTTTTTTTTTTTATTTTTTTGTGTTTGATAGAAGCGAAATACATTTGTTTGTTTGACGAACGTTTCAATACGATATTGTAATGAAAAGGTTTGATTAAATGTTAGCAGAGCTTGAAAATTTTTTACTTCAAATAAATCATATTTCGAGCATTTTTCTGTAAAATTAAACAAACTCTATCATACCAAGTATAAATTTTGCAAACTACAAACTCCAATTACATATATATTCGAATTTCGACGAAATTTATTATTTCGACAAGAAGTGATCTCTTTACGTGCCGTTTCATGTTTCATTGTTCGCGCACGAATGGGATATCAGGAATTTGCGTGTTTGCGCGTACGCTCGTGCCCTCCAATTCAGATTGGTATCACGACGGAAGGTTGAGCAACTCCGGACGCCCGCTCGACTTCAAAGAGAGCTGCATTGTGATATCGCGCGGCTTCACGAATCTCACCGACGATTCCGGGAATTACCGCGCTCTATATTCGCGCGTCGATCGCTCGCTCGCGTATCAATATCAGACTTCAACCAAAGCGAGGATATTAAACCCTCTCGTTCCCTCATAGCCGCGTGAGCACCAATCCGCTCGTAACGCGACGCGACCACCTTCCGGGGAAAATCCGGGGAAATTCCTACTCACTCTCGCTGCGCGTGTACGTTTGCGACGAAGCTTATCGCCGCTGCTCTCGGCAAGAGGGAATGATAATCAAATCGCGCCGGAAACTCGTGCAGGTAGAAGGACGGAACCTCGCGCGCGCGGTCGTCCGTAAATTCCATGTGTGCGTAAGCGCAGAGTAATATGCATAGTTATTGACATCTCATGTGAGAAACAAGGGAAATTGATGAGAATTTGCACAGCCCTTGTGTTTCTCCAAAGTCGAAATTCACACTTTCTCTTTTTCTTCGTCATTTTCGCGTATATCTGGAAACGCTTAAATGAATCGATAACACCGATAACATTTATGCGAAATTGTGTTTTTGTAAAAAAAAAAAAAAAAAGAAAGTAAGGAAATTGCTCTCATCTCGTGTTCAATTTTTTTTTTCTTCTTCGTTTTATTTCCGATTCTTCCCACATTTCTATTATTTCAGATAAAGTACGCAATGTTGAGATAAGAAGATACGTGGTTCGAACAAAGTCAAAGAAGATTCATAAAATTATAGTAATATTACAGGAAAATGTTTAAAAAGTCGACAATCAATTTCCTAACATCTGTAGATTTCTCTGTTCTCTATCTCAATATTGGTGTAACTATAAATAATAATATATTTTTTTATAAAACCATCCGTATAATTGCACAAAAACTTATTTATACCGTAAGTTGAAATTAAATTGAGTTTAAAGATGACTAGTGTTCGTGTTAAGCTGATTGATTCAATTCGACACTATCTATTGTTCCGCCGCAAACGCGTTGCGACACTCGAATAGTTCGATTCATCTTCGTGCACCATAGTTATTGGCGATAATACATTTGTCAATGCTCTCATCGCGCACCCCACAAGAGATTAATCAAATGAGTAATTCCGCTTGGATTGTGTAAAATCAGGGTTTTGCATACGGTGGCTCAGTTTAAACGAAGGGCTCGCGGAAACGAGTTCGATAGACCCTTCTTAAGCCGGTGCTCGATAATTCAACGAGCGGACGATATCCGTATTCTTACTTGAAAATCAATACGGAACTACGGCGAGCTTTCGTCGTCGCGGATCCTGACCTACCGTGCAAGGCACGTATCGGCGTTTTTTTTTTTTTTTTTATTGGCGGCAATTGGGGCAGGAAGCACATCCGTTGTTCAACCACAGTTCCGTAAAATACCATCTGTCCGACAGTAGTCAGAGCGTAGGAAAGGAGATACAGAGAGTCCGACTCCGGAGTTAATGTTACTTCGTCGGAAGTACTAGGATTCAGACAAACGCTTTCTCTCCTCTTCTCTTCTCTTTTCCTCCTTGTTCTCTCTCTCTCTCTCTCTCTTTCTCCTTTCGTGTAAATTTACTACTGTCGCGTTCCTTTTCTTACGCTGACAAATGATCAAGCTATTGAGGTGTGCTCCGAGGATCCTTTATTGGAAATACTTAATTGGTGAAAACGACGGACTGATAAAGAGAAAGATAGTATTGTGGATTAAGTTGTGTCAAGTGTCTCTCTCGGTTACGTATGTACGGAAGCTTCTGCTTTGCATCAATTTAAAGTCAAGGAAACCTGCTACAAGTTTCATTAAGCAGGAGCAGCAGGTAGATCCGACTTAGATCTCAAGGATCTACATCTCTCGCGCGAAACTGTCTCATTGAAGTAGAAAGTCCATTATCAGGACGATTCTTTTTTATGTGCTCGATATTTAACGAGTCGAAAACAGATTTAATAGAGATTGTCCTTTCGTCAAAGACTGTTGCAGGATTAACCTAGGTCTTAGTCCTGAGAGATCTACGGGATTCTCATAAAGAGCTATTAGCTTGATAAGTGCTGGATTTTGGAGCAACTTTAAGCGGATTAAAATTGAAAAAAAAAAAAAAAATTATGTTTCCACTAATATCATGGCAAAAAGCAAATTACAAAAAATTTCTACTTGTGTGAAAATAAATATCATATTCAGCTGAGTAAGAAGAATTATTTTTTCACAAATAAGTTTTTCGCTCAATTTGACGTTAATAATTAATACGATTGCAAGAATATAATTATAAAATATATATAAAATATATACATATATATATATATATATATATATATATCTGTCTTTATCTCTCTCTCTTTCTCTTACCTTCTAATCAACAATTAGTTTCTTTATATCTTTTCAGTGAACAAAAGTGTTACTTTGCAAACTCGTCATTCAGGCTTTAACTCAATTCCAGTTTGCCTTTATTAATTAATTCATTTTATATTTGTTTATATATAATACAACGCGTTGACTTAAATTATACGTATAATATGTGAACTATACCTACCACTTTATAATGGGGTGATAAACGTAATATTTACTGAAATAATATTCATATGTCAGGGCAAACAATTTACACGTACATTTACATGATTTATTCTGTATAATTGTCCGTAGTAAAGTAGTAATCACACGAAACTAAACATATCAGCAATAACACTTTTGTATAATAAATGAAAAGTAAATACGTGTAAACACTTTTGTTGCATGTAAAATGTTTTAATAACACAAGTTAAAAATTTAATAACAGAATTTAGAGAATAAAACAGAGAATAAAAAATTAAAAAACAGACAAATAAAAATTTCAAACAAAATCTTCAAAACTCCAAAAGCAACTATGTGTGTGTTTGAGTGTGTGTATGTATGTGTGTGATTATTACAAATTTATTTACAAATTTTTAATTTATTTAATTCGAACATCTCTCTCTTGACAAATATATATTACAAAAAAAATTCAAACATACATATAAATAATTAAAATTGCAAATTTATTGTTTTGAGCAAAAATTATCGATAGTTGCACCATTCCCTTTTATGTAAAATAAACATGAAATGAAGATATTAAAAATAATTTTCTTTAACCCTTTCAAGCCCGCAAATGATATATTTTTTAAGACAAAAATATTGTTCTTTCAAGCAATTATACCAATATTCGTGTATTTGTGTTTTTCAAATCATAATATTATAACACAATATTTTATATTATTCACACGTTTATGTTAACATTGTTTGTAGGAAATTAACTGAAATAAGATTTTATAAGTGGAAAATTTTAATGGTACCGTATAGAGCATCTCTCAAAGAGCTGGAAAGGATTAATGAGCCTTGTCCCTTAACTTGCTTTTACATTAATGCTTAATTACAGGTGCAGGCTATCCGTAATCCGCGAACACGCTGACGAAGCACATTTTGATCTTGGAAAGCCCGTGGCCCGAGATCGATTTGCCGCTGGGAAGGGCGAATTACTCCCTAAGGGTTAATGAACGGTTCATTAATGACGCACTACGACACGATCGGTCTTACTCGAAAATGCCAAACGACGTAATTAATTTAATCTGACTTACTTTTTAGTTACTCCACCACAAATACTCGATATGCATCGAAAATACGAAAAGTCGATATGTGTATGACGCGTATCTTTCAATCAATTTATGGATAATTATTACAACTTTTATATCCAAAAAAATGATTGATTGATGAGCTTTTCTTCGCAGCAAAATTAGTCTAACTAGCGTAAAAGATCAAATCTCTTCAACATTTAAATTATCCAACTTGTAGTGAAAATTAATTAGTATTGCGCTCGGTTATTGCAAGATTTGTTATATCTGAGTTATCTAAATTTATAAAAAAAAAAAAGTGATTGAATTGGAATTATTCACGATATAAAGTGTATAAAGTAGAATAAATTCGAAGATTCTATTATATTATTTTCTTTTTTAGAATTTATTCCTGTTCGTCATTATATAATGAGCAAATCCTTTCTTTATCAATTTTAATCTAGAAAAATACCAAATTACGTCGATAAAAATAAAAATAAAACTTAATCTTGTTAAAAATCTAACAATTGTAACGTGTTATCGCGAGAAAAATTGCCACTTATGATGAAACAACAATGAGAAACGGAAAAAAACACTTAATTGATTATAACCGGAAAACTGTATTTATACTAGTTATTTTTAATTTAATGAGAGGTTATACGGTAACTTCTTCGGAAAATCTGCTCTTGTCGTCCAGGTTGATAACTATGGCGTGTGTTCTAGCGTGGCCGGATTTACTCCTGGATTTGTCCTTCGTATCGGCTTCCTTGTTGTCTTTCTCATGACACGTTTCCTTACCTACATCCTCGGTGGCGTTCTTCGTGGATATCGACACGGCAATGTCTTTGCTGACTTTTTTCGAGTCGGATGTTTCGCTGTCTTTTGGCGGATCTTGCGAGTCTCTTTTCTCGAGTTCGGTTTTCTCGATACGCGCGCGACACCGACTTTCATCCTGAGAACTGATTCCTGAACAAACGTAGAATTATGTGTTTGTTCTTAAATTGCTCTACGTGTAAAATTAATAAATATTCTGAACAGTTGAAAGAGTTTCTACCTCGAATTTTTCTGGTTTACAGAAAATTTAATTTCTCCGGACGATTTTCGAGCAGTTTGTTTTATAATGCGTTTATTTTTTTTCTGTCCAGAAACAATTTTACCTATCTTATATTTATTAACTTATAAATAAATAAATACCCTAAACCCTTATCTCACATATTGTTTGTGTCAAAATATCTTTTTTTTTTTTTTTATATTGTTTCTAGCGAGTTTTAACTATTCCGCGTTCTTAAATTATTCGTACGTGTAAATCCGGAACATTCCGTTGATTTTATTTTTTAACTTTTCTACAAAGCTCCGAATATCAAATGCATTTATACAAATAAAATGTTTATCTCGAGTCATACAAAATTTGCGACTAAAACTTTATTTTTAATTGCTATTATACGTATATCATTTGACAGAAAAAAAATCACCATGCAAACTATCTAAAAGTAATAATAGTAATAAAATATAAATTTTCTTTCCTACCTGCTTGGTCGTGCTCCTGGCAAGCTTGTCCAAGGTTAGTTTCTTCCATTGATTTATTGAGATCGTTCAACTGAACGATGCTAGTTGAAATAACTTGAATGGTGGACACTTGAGTCTCAACGCGATTCGAAGCGTCCAGCATGGCTGCTAATTTGCTGACTAGCTCCTGATTTCCTAGCAAAATGTTCTTTTCCCTCAAGATTTCTAACTGGTTGAGCAAGCGACGAAACTCCTCCTGGAAAGAAGGATTCTTCTTTGCTATCTTTTTGTTTTTACCGATCTAAAATGCGAAAGTGTTCAAATCTCCGAGAAAACAAAGAGATAGTGAAAGTTCTCAACGACTTTGCGATTTTCGTTTTCCAAAGTCAAAAGACAACTTTCTGGATTTTTGTGTTAAAGAAACTCGAAGATATCAAGAGATTCTCTAAATCTCCTCAGATATTATTTGTTTTTAGAAGAATCTGATATATGTCAAAAACACACAAAAGAGAAATCCTCCAAGATTTCAAGAAAAGTTTCTGAAAAGTTAAACTGTCAAAAGAAACACGCAGTGTGGTTCAAAATAAAAAATTGCAATAAAAAAAAGTTGCAAGTTTTTAATTAGTATGGCTGAACAACAAAAATTTGGCAGGTGGTAAGCTGCCATTAATTATACGTAACGAAAAATTTAATTGGAAGACAAATGGATTCCAGATCTAGCAAATAATGTTAGAGAGATAGTGTACCGTGGAAATATACATCCCAGTATATACTCTCTACAGAAATGCGAACGATCCGGTAAATTTCCGGTTTACCGTAGGCGGTGCTTACCGTGGCTGAGTCGCTTTCTTCGGCAAAATTACCCTGCTGAAGGGATATCGAGTTGCTAGTCTGGTTGCTAGTGCCCTGCGGACGACCGCTTTTCCCCAGGAATTTGCCGGTCGCGCCGCAAAGTTTGCCGATCGTCTCCTCCTTTCCTCCACCGCGGAACACCACGTAAGCCTTCGTTAAATGCGACGTATGTAACAACCAAACTTACGCAGGACCATTTCTATTCAGGCTACTGCGAGAGAAGTTTGCGGTAATCCCGCATACGAGAAAACCGAAGCAAATGGAAAATGAAGCGGAAATTGTACGATTTAATCTCATTTCGCGCCGATTGAATTTTATTTTTATGCCTGCCTGCGATACACCGCAATTCTAATTTTTCAACGGTAAATTTTCAGTAATGAAACTGGTTTCTCTTACATTTTTAAAAATTATATTTAACGAATACAGATTTTACTTATTTTTTATTCACTCTGTTTTACGCAGAGTTCACTTGAAAATGTTTTGAAAAATCCAAGATTTGTATCAATTTAAAACTTAATTTTCACCTGTCTAAAAATGCTTTTAAAACTTAACTTAAGAATTTCTGCAAATGTTGCGAAAAAAAAGAGAGACGATTTGACAATCGTCAAATTCATTCAAAGAACCTGTTAAAACGCTTCGTTAATTAGTAAGCGAGTCAGATAGCAGTAATGTAGTAGTAGTACTCAGCGCTTAAGAAAACAAACATCGATAGTGAAAGACATGCTGATGAATGTTGGTGGAATATAGTTAGTGCGATGCAATAATGCGCGATATATAACGACTATGTGTCACAGGATATAAACACGTATAAATAATGTATCTTACTTTACTGCCGAATATCAGGCACAGCAGCAATGTGACGGTAAGCTGGGTATGGCAGAAAAATATGATGTACAATAAATCCGGATTGGCCGGCGATTGCAGGAACAACCTGCAGCAACGGGAAAGAAATTATTCAGAGCTGTTAGTCGCACGAAGCGCTATCGTGACGTAAGAACGCGAGCCGTTACCGAGTGTCCCAGATCTTCCCTTATTTTTATTTGTTTTTACCATCTCGAAAATGCAAATTGCATTCTTGATATTAGATCCGGAAGAATGGTGTTTTTCACATTCACCGCGTAAAGTTTTAATGGCAGACACATTTCGCAACGCCTCAAAGCTTTGTGACGCAAGATCTGTGACACGTACTTGGATAAAAAAACTTCTGCGAAACTTCATCTTTTCGCTTCTGCATATGATAAAAAACACATATTGCTAGAACATGTAAACTCTCGAACGTCATATGGTTGCAGTCTGTATTTAAACTTCCATTAAGAAAACTTCATCACACAGAATTTGTCACTAAACTGCAGTTAAAGTGGAATACACTTTCGAAATTATTAACACAAAATTGAAATATTTAAAAAAACAAAGAGTTCTTCTTCGTGAAAACTGGACTTGCATTACTCAATTTAGAATTAAATTTTTGAAATCTGATTTTTCTCTCAAAGAATTTAATTAAGAAACAAATCCCATTACCGCGTTAAACCCTGCCGACTCTTAATTACAGAAAATGATCAAAATGCAATATACATTGCTATACACTTCATTAATAGTCTTTTCAGAAACGTTTCAGGAATGAATAAATTCCGAGTTTCAGACAATTACGAACACAATGAAGCCTTACGAGGGCGTTCGCCGAGAGACTATAATTGGTCGTTCTGAATAACGAACAGAAGGAAAAAGGCGATCGTATAACGCGGAACTTACATTGAAACGTTGAGGAAGACTGATAGTAGAAATTCGTTGTAAATCGCCATTGAAATGAATCGACTCTCATTAAACTCCGACGGAGTTTTTCTTACTACGATGCACAAGCGGATGCCCCACACAAGGAACATCACCTCGACTGAAATCACGCGAAATTCCAAGTTATATTAGTCCTCAGTGACAATAAATGTTGTTTCGTCCGTAAACCAGCACAGAGTCGTATCTAGTACAATATTATTCACGCTTACGTGACTGTGTGGAATTTCAAATAATTTCCGTCTTTTTTCAGGAAATTTAACACGTATAAATATACACGTATGTGTGCGTACACATATCTACGTTAATTTATGCTATCGCTCTAGTTACGGCTCTGGAACAAAAGTGTGTGACAGATCTATGAATTTGATGATCTTGCACAATGTTTGTCTTTATTACGCGCTTGTAAACATGCCATTCGAGATGCGACATATTTGAGAGTGCACAAGTTTTCCACAAAGATCAATTCGGAGATTACTGCTAAGAACAACAAGATCCTCTTTTCTTCGATGAGATAAACACGAATTAATCATAACGCGAAGTCTCTCTCTCTCTTTCTCCTCTCCGATAGCACTATCCATCTTGATTTAAAATCGTGTTTGGCCATCTGCAGTATTACTAAATCAATATGGCTCACATGTGCACAGACTTCCATATATTCCATATTATACATATATCGCACCTATAATACGTTATGATCCTTTATGATGTCGTATTAGCTGCGAAACATGCGCGCAACACCGAAATAACCTAATTGGATGTAAATTAATCCGATATATATATACGTACACACACTCCGCGGGAAATAATTTTCCCAATGAAAGAGAAGCGTGGTGTGTGTGCGTTACAGCCATTCGGTGTAAACATTTTACTGATACTGAGCAGGTGAAACTGACAACGGGAATGGATAATGCGGACAAATGCGACCCTGTCACGTATAATACAGGAACTTATGGATATGGCGAGGCAAGGGTGCAGTGAGACGAATGCCCGCTTTTACGCCTCGTTTACGGCATAACCCGGAAGTATCGCGCATGTTTTTTTTTTTTCTCCGCTAAACAAGATTCTTCGGCAAATACGCGCGCGGTGAATATATCGCGCAATTTATTTATTCCGAGCGCCATCCATCTTCATAACTTCCTGGATTTTGCCAAACTTTCTCCTTCTCTTCACAAATATCGAATATTTTCAGTAAATAAGCTTCACGAGCTAATATCCTTGGTTAAAATAATGTTTACTCGGCGGAGCTTGAAAGGCGGAGCTTGAAATTTAATTCATCAAAACTCTCTTCAACTTTCGATCGCATTCTTATACACACGCTACGAGGGATCGATCATTTTATAAAAGCAAAGTTAATCCGCACCCGCGCCTGCTTCCTATATTATGCACCGTGGCACCGCATTCATATTTCATCGGTGCGATACAGTTTGCGATTACACGAGTCTCAAGTTTTGAGAGACAGAGCGCGCAAAAAACCCAAGAGGATTAAACGCGAGTCGATATCTCCGTGTTTTTTTTTTTTTTTTTTTTTTTTTTTCCCTACGCAAACGTGCGAGAGTATGCATTGCGCGGAACGGCACTCACGAGTAGTGAAACTGTGGTCCCACCAGTCGGTTTGGCAGAGATACGCTTTGAGATCGTCGGCGGTCCTGCCGACGATTACAACGGGCGGGGCGACCAGTGTCCTTATGCTCAGAAACACGCTGAACGTCAGAACGATAATGCCGAGCCGTTTCAGCAGACTCGCGTCCGTTATTTTCACAGCTTTCGCCGATTTCACTCGGAAGATCACAGATATTCTGCAACCGATAATCACAATTCTTATATAATTTTTAAAACATAAGGAAATTGTGAAAAAATAAAAATAAAAAATATAAATATTTTTTCCAAAAACTGGCATGTGTGAGAAGAAATGTACTTACTAGAAAAGATAAAGTCAAGAGACACAAAAACAATAATCATAAAGTGAAAATAGCATATTGAAGTAAAGTGCACTTACCGCCACGTTTTGAGCATGAGTGCTCCGTATGTAAGGGAAAAGCCAATTTCTCGTAGCCATACGCGCACAGTGCACGTAATGATGTTTGGCCTGGGATACATAACTATGGTCTGGAACAAGCAAACGCACATCCTGCAAAGCGATGTTGTGTGATCACTTTCAACAAACACGCGTGTCGCGTGACGCACACATCTCGCTATCTGCTCGCTTCTATCAGTTTGAATTTTAACGACGTCATTTCGACGAGTGCGGACGAATTACCCCATCATCAGAGCGTCAAATTGGTTAATTAAGTATTAAATACCGAGAAGCGTTGCACGTGAAATTAGTCCAAAAAATATTTTATTAATTACCTATCGAGTTCTCGTCTATGTTATTCATGCAGAGATGCAATGCATACGAAAGCAAGCATTTTTATTTTAAATGTTAAAATAAAACGTTACAAACTGATAAAAATTAACGCGAATAATATGAGAAACTCTCTCATAGAGCTTGTAACTAAACACAGTGCAGAAAAAGATATAAAAAAAAAAAAAAAAAAAACAATAGCGAAACTTTGAGTGACGTTTTCTTTACTCGAGGTTCTCT